GGTTTACCACAGCATAAAAACATGGAGATATTAGTGGCAAAGGAATATATCCGGTTCTACGAAAAAGAAGAAGATTGCGACAAGACGCTACTCAAGTTTTCCAAGCTTAACTTCAAATACCTCCGGTTTCTTTACCTTCAAGAACTCAAAATGCTTTCAAAGTAATTATTTATTTCTCCCCAAGAATTGCTATAATTTAATATATGTTCCTTTCGCAGCTTGCTGAAATATTAATGTGTGTATGCAAGATGGTACAAGGAACAAGACTTTGAATCTAAGTTTCCACCTTACTACAGAGACCTACTCGTGGAAACGAACTTCCATACGCTAACGTACATGGAGCCGAAACATTCACGACTGAGAATTTTTGTGACTAAATTTTATGTACTTCAAGCAATAGTAGATGATACTTGTGACAGATATGCTTCTCTACGTGAGGTCGAAATCCTCGCCGATACCATTGAAAGGTACATGCATTATCGATGATTATATATCGTGATATATATTATAGTAGCTTCAGTCTTCCACTCTTCATAATAATCATATTTTATTTGAGAAATTGTTACGTCATGTTGTGTTTTCTACAGTGTCGTTTAACATTTCTTCTAATCTTATCCAGATTTATAGTAGTCTAATTAAAAGTAGGTTCAATCTCTCTGAAAATCTCTTATACATATCACGTTGTTTATCTTAAACTATACTGCCAATTTTAATAAGTTTAGGCTATTTTGAGTTACTATAAAAATATTATTTTCATAATTACCTTAAATCTTTTTGTAATTTTTAGTATTAGTGTAGTACATACTCCCTCTATTTCAAAAAGATTAACATTCTAGAAAAAAATATTTTTTTCAAAAAGATGTATTTTTACATTTTCAATATATAATTTAATGAAAAATTGTAGATTTCAGTAAAATTAATTGCGTTTCTTAAAAATTTATTGGTTAAAAAATATATGGAATTATTATCTATAATAAATGATGCGCATTGGTAATCAAAATTTTATGTTTTTTCTTAATATGTGTAAGAAAACTAAAACAATTTTGAAACAGAGGGAGTATGTGATTTATCAACAGAGACCTTAATATCTTATTACATAAAAATCTCAGATAAAATGATGATGACTATACATATTGATAACGTAGGTGGGATCTCGATGATCATGCCATGGATGGACTACCAGATTATCTGAAAGCATTAGTTAAATTAATATTTGGTACATTCCAAGAATTTGAAAGAGAACTCGAGTCAGAATCAGGAGGGCTTTACAGTTTGGAAGCTACAATTGAATACGTAAGCAATCAAAATATTTAATAATAACCAATCGTATATGATTTTTCGGAGAAAATAGTAATAACAATTCATTTTTGAACCCAAATTCCAGTTCAAGAGATTTATAAGAAGTAACCTTCAACTTGCTAAATGGGCAAGTGTGGACCACTTACCTAACTTTGAGGAATACCTATATGTTGCTGGACTCGAGATTGCTATTGAATTTACCGTGGCATCTATTTTGATGGCAATGGAGAATATCTGCAAGGAAGAGGCTTTTGAATGGTTGAAAACTAGAGACAAACTCGTTAGAGCAATGGCTACAAAAACACGAGTACCTAATGATATGTTTGGCTATAAGGTTAAAAAAATATTTGAATTGGTTTTATTGTTTTATAAGTAGATTTAATTTTAACATGNAAAGCTTCGTCAATTGATTGCAGAAGGTGATAAGATGATGAATGAGGAGTTTTTGAAGCCAATCAATGTGTCACACCAGGTTCTAAAGACAGTCATGATCGACACTTTACGTGCAATAAACGTTGGCTACGATAAAGAAGATAATTTTACCCGTCCCGATGCACATCTAAAGAACCTTATAATGTCTATGTATGTTGATCTTTGAGGACGTTGGTGTATGTATCCAACATACTTGTGGTTTAGCAAGTAACTGGGAACGTACTGTATTTGTCCAAAAATACTTGAGGGTTTGTGTTGCTTTCTCTGTGGTTGGGTTTTGCTTTTATGTTGCTTTTTGATGCAGCGCATCTTGTCTTCATCTTTGACTTTGTTTCAATCATAGTCGAAAAAGCTTTACTTCTGTATTGGATTCTATGTTTTTTTTTTTTTATGTCACTGGGATATGTTTTCATTTGTATTCGATTTATCTTGATCTTCTTCTCGAAGGTTTGCGGTCTGTAGCCTTTTTATAAAGGGCATCCCCATTAGGGGTTCATACCCAATATCTCTCACAAATTCTAAAAAAACAAAATAATATAATAGTTGTGGACCCATTTAATTTATGAACCCGTCGCCTCTGAGTGCATTGGCATTCAGAGTCTTAATAATGTTTTGGTTTTGTCCAATCGGGTCTCGATTTTTTAGGTTTATCAAATTCAGCGTCAAGCAGCAGTGTTGGCAGCGAGGTCTTAACTCTCGTGTTCGAGAGAGTTTCAATTAGGGCGAACTCCTCTCAAATATCTACTTTGAAAAGTCTATCTTTTTTGCATGTAGAAATTTGATACATTAATCTGAACAATAATACATATATGTGACTATTTCTTAGTAATCGGGAATAACTTTTGAAATGTAAATTGTTTGAATTTGGTGAAGATGGGGTATGCAGCAAATGAATATGTCTTTGTTTTCAATCCATTTATAAGAATTTCATAGATATTACGATTTTTCATATCCTTACAACATAAATATCAAGATGGGTAAAAAAAATATCAAGATGGGTAAATTAGCATGAAATACACTAAATCAGGCAACGAATATCTAACTACAGTTAGATATAAAACTTCCAATTTGAAATATTAAGTTAAAAGATTATTATTTATTATCAAAATATGACCTCTTTTTACTTGAGTGCAAATACTTTTGTTTAGTTTTATCAAAAAGCCAATATCCTAAGTATGACCCTTTTTCATTGTCACGGTGCAATTAACCTAATAATTCATACATGATTGACAGGAGGGCGGTCCAAATGGGGTTCTATACATTATCATTCTCTTAAAAGTTCCTCAAATGGACACATATTATATAATAAAATAATATTTAACTAAAACGCACATTATATAACTTTCTAAAATAAGACAGTACTTCTCTCTAGAATTTTCTCCAACCTCTCTTTAAAAATGTTTTCCATCAAAATTTAACGTCGGTGGCTTTTGCCAGTCGATTACCATCTCTTCTTTTTGTGTTTTTTTTTATGTAACTATTTTGAGATGTTGAACTATGCGAGGAATGTTTTTTGTTAAAGAAATGTCTAAACTTATATGAAATATATGCATTTTACTCTTTGAGTGTTTTTATTTAATCTTAATTACGAGTTTCACCATTTTTATCTACAAAATATATATATTATACAGTTTATCTCTAATATTCTTCGCACGGTAAAAAAAAGATGCAAACAAAACATCTGCAGTGAGAAACCATAATATGCTTGTCCTGGATATAATGTCAAACTGTCAAACCATATAAAAAACTCCCCTGAGTTCACTGTTGAAAATATGATAAGCTCAGTTAATCTTTGCTCTTTGGTCGAAAACACTCGTTAATATTATTGATATTGGATTGTACCTGCATATTACTAAAATTGAAGAGAAAACATGTTAAACACAAGGATAAAAATGTTTTAGACTATCCTAATCAAAACAATCTCCAAATTAAACTGCTTTGCAGCTTCACCCAGATGAATAACCTGGAGGAACAGATGAAACACATAAGAACCTCAGGAACATGATCCCACTAGAATGAGGTTTTTGTAAAACTTATCCATAGTTCTTCTAAATACTTGCATAAAATTAGCAAATGGCTCTGTGTTTCAACATGTTCTTTACAGACAAAAAAAAAAATGCAGAAAGAGGAGGCCTATTTATTCCACGTGTTAAATCTGCTTACTTGTTATACGTCTGTTGTGTACTGCAAGTGATCAACAGTATTGTCTCACGGGAGGTCATGAAAAATGAAAGAAAATGGTTAGTTAGATTTTAGACAGACACATGCTTTTGTGTTACAAATAATTTTCATATCTACCAAAGTAGAGAAAAAGAAACAAACAAAAAACGAACAAAAAATCTGCTTCTCTGTTAAGTTACTGGGTTCATCTGATAAAAAGTGGGCCTATAAATTTGTGAAAAATGGATGCCCATACTTCAGTAGAGTGAAGACGCTAACCGCCTTGGAGTGTACTTCATTCGATGGAGTGAAAACCTAAGATCATGATTAACCCGAGTTCTTAGCATAGGGTTCTTAACTTCGGCTAAGAACCGTTTTCTAGCTTTTAATTAAGAAAAACTAAGAACCGTCTATTAAATAACAGATATAAAAACTGTTTATTAGCCGAAATATGTAAAAAAAAGTCAAATCATGAGTTAAGAATTCCAAATTAAAAATTTGGGTTAATCATGTTTTAAGAATATCACTCTCCCCGAAATTTATTGAGAGAGATTGTGAGAAGCAAAAAAAAAATATATGCTATAATGGCCTAATAGTTCCCCTTATTAGAAGGGGGTACAGGGTTCAAACGTAGTTAGTGAGATAACAGTAGAGGTGGATGCAACCACTCACTCACTTGCTTCTAGGTCAAAAAAGAAGCATATTTATATATCATTTTCTTTTATAAACCCTATCGACTTATTCAATTGGTTCCGGAAGATATACACTTAGTGATACATAATGGAATGGTTACCACAGTATCTGATCCAAATTTGGATTATCTTCCGACTAATGTCAGGAAAAATTTGTGCAAAGCTTGAAAAACGGAAATAAATATTTATAATTGTTATAAGTGGAGAGGCCATAAACAATGTTTTAATTAAAGAACAATAGTTAGATGAAATTCAAACTTGCAATTTGCAAATCCACTAACTTAGTGCCAACCAAATCAAGAATAAAATAAAATAAAATCTACTTCTTAATTTGTGAAGTTATTCATTTCATGTGAAAAATGTTGTGCCTATAAATTTGGTTGTGAAACCTGGATTCCCATATCATCAATAATGAAAATGGAAGCCCTTTTTGGACCAAAACTTGGATCGAACCTCACCTTTCCTTCTCAAACCAATTTATTTCCGGTATGCAACCTCTATCGCTTTCCGGTGACCTCACATCCTCGTAAGCTTGCACATTTTGTTCCTTTGAAAGCGGCGGCTAATACTCTGGCTTGTGAAGATGAAGAAAATAATCGAAATTTCATAAAGCTAGACCCTTCTAAGTGGGATCATCAATCCCTCTTTGCTAAGCTGGATATCTCAGTAAGTCTCTCTTTCTCTCTCTTATACGAAATCCTTTTTCTTTTTGGTTATATATATACATGAAGTCATGGGTGTATAATTTCTTTGTCTGGAAGGAAATGGATGCTCTTGGGAGAGAGATAGAGGCGCTAAAGCCACAAGTGAGGAACATGTTCATGTCTTCCAAAGGCATTAAGAAGAAAATTATTTTTATCTATTTGCTTGTGACACTTGGTCTCGCGTATCATTTCGAGGATGAGATCGCGGAGACTTTAAAAGATGGTTTCCAAAAGATAGAAGAGATGATGGCGGATGAAGAAGATTTGTACACTGTTTCCGTCATCTTCTATGTTTTCAGGACATATGGTCACAACATTTCTTCTGGTAAGGATTCTCTGGCTAGGTTTACATGATATAACCTTTTTAGCACACGTCACTTACGCAGTTGGGTATCCAGAAAAAAAAATTCTACTGGGTGTACAACTAAAACAAATCATTTAATGGAAGCAAAATAAAATGGAGAAAAATATAGAACGCGAGTGATGAACCTCAACCAATTTAAAAATGCAAAATCAGAAAAAATGCTTTCAGTATTATATACTGATTAAATATCAGAAATTTGACTTTAATAATGTTCCTATTAGAAAAAAAAATATTCCTATTAGATTATTTGGTTTGTAGGAGATATATAATTTTTGTCCACGATGTATGAGACATATAATTATATATCAACGAAAGTAAATGAACTTCTAGTTGTAATTCCATAAAGTATATCAAAATGTTTTGAAGTATTAAGAAAAAAATATAGAGATGAAATCCCTTGTAATAGAAATAAACATTCAAATTTTATCTTTATATATGAATTATTAATTTATAATTTAAATGAGAAGATACATTTACACAAGATTTATTTATTATTATCTTATTGTTTATTAAATTTTCATATTCTAAATCAGTAACTCAAAGATGGTGAAATTTACATATTTATTGTATTATTAATTTATTGAATATTTATTTATAGAAAATTTAGTATATCTTTCTAATGTTGATCTGCCCTTCGCTGTATATTTGAACACAACTTCGACTTAAGAAAATAAATTTACAGTCAATTTTATTGAATTTATCATATATTAGGTCTTGCAATTTTTTCATGCATGTAAACAACAAAAGTACGCATCAGAAATCTATTTAATACTAAATTTGGATAGGATCTACAAATAATTTGAGACAATTCCTACATGTGAGTAGTGAGCATGAGACGATCACCGACGTACACTAATTTGTTATTATTTGACCCGAAGATTTTCAATTTGGCCAACAGATGTTTTTGGGAGATTCAAAGGGGACAATGAAACATTTAAAGAATGTCTTACAAGTGATGCTAAGGGTATCCTAAGCTTGTATGAAGCTTCCCACATGGGGACGACGACAGATTACATATTGGATGAAGCCTTGACCTTCACATTAAGTTACTTGGAGTCGTTAAGTTGTACATGCAAACCTAATCTCTCAGTGCTTATACGGAACTCTTTGGGTTTACCACAGCATAAAAACATGGAGATATTAGTGGCAAAGGAATATATTCGGTTCTACGAAAAAGAAGAAGATTGCGACAAGACGCTACTAAAGTTTTCCAAGCTTAACTTCAAATACCTCCGGTTTCTTTACCTTCAAGAACTCAAAATGCTTTCAAAGTAACTATTTATTTCTCCCCAAGAATTGCTATAATTGAATATATGTTCCTTTCGCAGCTTGCTGAAATATTAATGTGTGTATGCAAGATGGTACAAGGAACAAGACTTTGAATCTAAGTTTCCACCTTACTACAGAGACCTACTCGTGGAAACGAACTTCCATACGCTAACGTACATGGAGCCGAAAAATTCACGAGTGAGAATTTTTGTGACTAAATTTTATGTACTTCAAGCAATAGTAGATGATACTTGTGACAGATATGCTTCTCTACGTGAGGTCGAAATCCTCGCCGATACCATTGAAAGGTACATGCATTATCGATGATTATATATCGTGTTATTGTAGTAGCTTGAGTCTTCCACTCTTCATAATAATTATATTTTATTTGAGAAATTGTTACGTCATGTTGTGTTTTCTACAGTGTCGTTTAACATTTCTTCTAATCTTATCCAGATTTATAGTAGTCTAATTAAAAGTAGGTTCAATCTCTCAAAATCTGTTATACATATCACGTTGTTTATCTTAAACTATACTGCTAATTTTAATAAGTTTAGGCTATTTTGAGTTACTATAAAAATATTATTTTCATAATTACCTTAAATCTTTTTGTAATTTTTAGTATTAGTGTAGTACATATGTAATTATCAACAGAGACCTTTATATCTTATTACATAAAAATCACAGATAAAATGATGATGACTATACATATTGATAACGTAGGTGGGATCTCGATGATCATGCCATGGATGGACTACCAGATTATTTGAAAGCATTAGTTAAATTAATATTTGGTACATTCCAAGAATTTGAAAGAGAACTCGAGTCAGAATCAGGAGGGCTTTACAGTTTGGAAGCTACAATTGAATACGTAAGCAATCAAAATATTTAATAATAACCAATCGTATATGATTTTTAGGAGAAAATAGTAATAACAATTCATTTTTGAACCCAAATTCCAGTTCAAGAGATTTATGAGAAGTAACCTTCAACTTGCTAGATGGGCAAGTGTGGACCACTTGCCTAACTTTGAGGAGTACCTATATGTTGCTGGACTCGAGATTGCTATAGAATTTACCGTGGCATCTATTTTGATGGCAATGGAGAATATCTGCAAGGAAGAGGCTTTTGAATGGTTGAAAACTAGAGACAAACTCGTTAGAGCAATGGCTACAAAAACACGAGTACCTAATGATATGTTTGGCTATAAGGTTAAAAAAATATTTGAATTGGTTTTATTGTTTTATAAGTAGATTTAATTTNTCAACTGCTATAAGAAGCAGTATGGAGTTACCGAAGAAGAAGCATATGAAAAGCTTCGTCAATTGATTGCAGAAGGTGATAAGATGATGAATGAGGAGTTTTTGAAGCCAATCAATGTGTCACACCAGGTTCTAAAGACAGTCATGATCGACACTTTACGTGCAATAAACGTTGGCTACGATAAAGAAGATAATTTTACTCGTCCCGATGCACATCTAAAGAACCTTATAATGTCTATGTATGTTGATCTTTGAGGACGTTGGTGTATGTATCCAACATACTTGTGGTTTAGCAAGTAACTGGGAACGTACTGTATTTGTCCAAAAATACTTGAGGGTTTTGTGTTGCTTTCTCTGTGGTTGGGTTTTGCGTTTATGTTGCCTTTTGATGCAGCGCATCTTGTCTTCATCTTTGACTTTGTTTCAATCATAGTCGAAAAAGCTTTACTTCTGTATTGGATTCTATGTTTTTTTTTTATGTCACTGGGATATGTTTTCATTTGGCTTTCTTTGGTATTAGATTTATCTTGATCTTCTTCTCGAAGGTTTGCGGTCTGTAGCCTTTTTATAAAGGGCATTCCCATTAGGGGTTCATACCCAATATCTCTCACAAATTCTAAAAAAAACAAAATATTATAATAGTTGTGGACCCATTTAATTTATGAACCTGTCGCATGCGAGTGTTTCTGTATTGGCATGGACATTCGGAGTCCTAATAAGGTTTCCGTTGTTGTCCAATCAAGATGGTTAAATTAGCATGAAATACACTAAATCAGGCAACGAATATCTAACTACAGTTAGATATAAAACTTCCAAATTTGAATTAGTAAGTTAAAAGATTATTATTTATTATCAAAATATGACTTCTTTTTATTTGAGTGAAAATACTTTTGTTTAGTTTTATCAAAAAACCAATAACCTAAGTATGACCGTTTTTCATTGTCACGGTGCAATTAACCTAATAATTCATACATGATTGACAGGAGGGCGGTCCACATGGGGTTCTATACATTATCAATCTCTTAAAAGTTCCTCAAATGGACACATATTATATAAAAAATAATATTTAACTAAAACGCACATTATATAACTTTCTAAAATAAGACACTTCTCTCGAGAATTTTCTCCAACCTCTCTTTAAAAAAGTTTTCCATCAAAATTTAACGTCGGTGGCTTTTGCCAGTCGATTACCATCTCTTCTTTTTGTTTTTTTTTTGTATGTAACTATTTTGAGATGTTGAATTATGCGAAGAATATTTTTTGTTAAAGAAATATCCAAAACGTATATGAAAGATATGCATTTTACTCTTTGAGTGTTTTTATTTAATCTTTTTAAAAATTACGAGTTTCACCATTTTTATCTACAAAATATATATTTATACAGTTTATCTCTAATATTCTTCGCACGGTAAAAAAAAAGATGCAAACAAAACATCTGCAATGAGAAACCATAATATGCTTGTCCTGGATATAATGTCAAACTGTCAAACCATATAAAAAACTCCCCTGAGTTCACTGTTGAAAATATGATAAGCTCAGTTAAACTTTGCTCTTTTGTCGAAAACACTCGTTAATATTATTGATATTGGATTGTACCTGCATATTACTAAAATTGAAGAGAAAACATGTTAAACAAAAGGATAAAAATGTTTTAGACTATCCTAATCAAAACAATCTCCAAATTAAACTGCTTTTTAGCTTCACCCAGATGAATAACCTGGAGGAACAGATGAACAACACATAAGAACCTCAGGAACATGATCCCACTAGAATGAGGTTTTTGTAAAAGTTGTCCATAGTTCTTCTAAATACTTGCATAAAATTAGCAAATGGCTCTGTGTTTCAACATGTTCTTTACAGACAGAAAAAAAAAAATGCAGAAAGAGGAGGCCTATTTATTCCACGTGTTAAATCTGCTTACTTGTTATACGTCTGTTGTGTACTGCAAGTGATCAACAGTATTGTCTCACGGGAGGTCATGAAAAATGAAAGAAAATGGTTAGTTAGATTTTAGACAGACACATGCTTTTGTGTTACAAATAATTTGCATATCTACCAAAGTAGAGAAAAAGAAACAAACAAAAAACGAACAAAAAATCTGCTTCTCTGTTAAGTTACTGGGTTCATCTGATAAAAAGGGGCCTATAAATTTGTGAAAAATGGATGCCCATACTTCAGTAGAGTGAAGACGCTAACCGCCTTGGAGTGTACTTCATTTGATGGAGTGAAAACCTAAGATCATTATTAACCCGAGTTCTTAGCATAGGGTTCTTAACTTCGGCTAAGAACCGTTTTCTAGCTTTTAATTAAGAAAAACTAGGAACCGTCTACTAAATAAGAGATATAAAAACCGTTTATTAGCCGAAATGTGTAAAAAAAGTCAAATTATGAGTTAAGAATCCCAAATTATAAATTCGGGTTAATCATGCTTTAAGAATATCACTCTCCCCGAAATTTATTGAGAGAGATTGTTAGAAGCAAAAAAAATATATGCTATAATGGCCTAATAGTTCCCCTTATTAGAAGGGGGTACAAGGTTCAAACGTAGTTGGTGAGATAACAGTAGAGGTGGATGCAACCACTCACTCACTTGCTTCTAAGTCAAAAAAGAAGCATATTTATATATCATTTTCTTTTATAAACCCTATCGACTTATTCAATTGGTTCCGGAAGATATACACTTAGTGATACAGAAGGGAATAGTTACCACAGTACCTGATCCAAATTTGGATTATCTAGCGACTAATATCAGGAAATATTTGTGCAAAGCTTGAAAAACGGAAATAAATATTTATAATTGTTATAAGTGGAGAGGCCATAAACAATGTTTTAATTAAAGAACAATAGTTTGATGAAATTCAAACTTGCAATTTGCAAATCCACTAACTTAGTGCCAACCAAATCAAGAATAAAATAAAATCTGCTTCTTAATTTGTGAAGTTATTCATTTCATGTGAAAAATGTTGTGCCTATAAATTTGGTTGTGAAACCTGGATTCCCATATCATCAATAATGAAAATGGAAGCCCTTGGAATTTTTGGACCAAAACTTGGATCGAACCTCACCTTTCCTTCTCAACACAATTTATTTCCGGCATGCAACCTCTATCGCTTTCCGGTGACCACACATCCTCGTAAGCTAGCACATTTTGTTCCTTTGAAAGCGACAGCTAATACTCTGGCTTGTGAAGATGAAGAAAATAATCGAAATTTCATAAAGCTAGACCCTTCTAAGTGGGATCATCAATCCCTCTTTGCTAAGCTGGATATCTCAGTAAGTCTCTCTTATACGAAATCCTTTTTATTTTTGGTTATATATATACATGAAGGTCCTGTTCGTTTGGTTGCCGCGGGTTTCAGCGTCGGCGTCGGCGTCGGCGTCAGCGTCGGCGTCAGCGTCAATGAAAATAGTTGTTGTTCGTTTTGTAGACGCCGACGCCGACGCCGACGCTGACGCTGCCGCAGATTGTTGTTCGTTTAAAAGACGCTGACAGTTGACGCCGACGCCGACGCCGACGCCGACGCCGACGTTGATATGTTGGATTGTTCGTTTGATAGACGCTGTGTCTATTTCATTTTTTTATATTTTATGTTAAAAAATTGTAAAATTGTATTTAAAAAATAAAATATAGTTCAAATATATTTACATCCATTAAAATATTATGTTTACTTGGTAATGAATTTTTGGTCAATTATACAAATGTTACAACATTTTTTTCATAAATCATAAGCTAAATTAGAAAAAAATAATACTTCAAAATATTTATCAGAAACNTTTTTTTATATTTTATGTTAAAAAATTGTAAAATTGTATTTAAAAAATAAAATATAGTTCAAATATATTTACATCCATTAAAATATTATGTTTACTTGGTAATGAATTTTTGGTCAATTATACAAATGTTACAACATTTTTTTCATAAATCATAAGCTAAATTAGAAAAAAATAATACTTCAAAATATTTATCAGAAACAAAAGCTCAATATTATATCAAATTGGTTGATAAAAAAAATACATCAAGTCTTAAATAAATATCAAATTCAAATGATAATCAAAGTTATAAGCAAAAAAAAAACTAAATCATTAACTAAAACATTTAATATGGTAAACGGCCTCTATCATGACTCAGTAAACAAGCCTATACACAACACAATCAGACACAAACCAAAGAAACCCTTAACGCTATCACAAGCCAATACCTCAAGACACAAAAGATTACATCACAACAAACCCATTCTCTTCCATCATAGGTCTATCTTAAAATTAACTAAATTTAGTGATAAAAAATCCTTATTTATGTTTGTTTCTTACAAAAAGGTCCAAAATATTATTCATATTTATGTTTGTTTCTTAGGGTCCAAAATATTATGCTTAATACATAAAAAAAGTTTCTGTCAAAGGGTCCAATATAGTTTTAAGCCGGCACCGAAGGTACGCATGGCCTCCACTCAGTTTCTTTGCCAACATCCATTAAAGCTATTCCTTTAACTGTCAGTTGTGCTCTAATCTCATCACTTTTCTCAAACTCTTTGTTCTTCCGCGCCATTGTCCTTTCTTCTATTATTTTTGAAAGCTCTTCTTCGCTCAATTTTGCTCTTGTTAGTGCTTTTTGTCTCATCTCTTTCAAAATATCGGTATAGCTCAGGGTAGTGGTGAAACCAAGCACTTCAAGAACTGTCTTTGCTGCTTTCTCAATCTCAACAAGTGACACAAGCAGTGGCATCCTCTGTGTCTTCTGCATTTTCTGACAATTTTTGACAAAACCAGAGAAGTTTGGTAATGTAAATATGTAATAAAGTATGAATGTTAAGATGCCACAAAAGAAAAGAAAGAGTAAAAGCAAGAAAACCTTAAGCTTGCCGATGGAATCGTTGATGAATTTCAATGCATCTTTGTAAGCACCTTCTAGTATATGGGCAGTATTCAAATCGTCTAACATTTTTGCATCAAATTCACTTTTGAGTTTGGTAATGATGTCTTTTGCTTCTGCTGTCGGTTCAGCTTTTCCACCATCTTCAGACATTGCCTCTCGATATGGCAAAAGAGCATCATCAAGATCTTGCAACGTCTAGTAAACAAAGATTCACAAGTTAGAGATATAGAACTGAAATAAAAATTACTTGACTCAGTAAACAAGCCTATACACAACACAATCAGACACAAACCAAAGAAACCCTTAACGCTATCACAAGCCAATACCTCAAGACACAAAAGATTACATCAGAACAAACCCATTCTCTTTCACCATCAGAACAAACCCATTCTCAAAAACTCATGAAACACAAAAAACAGCTTCTTCTTTTCTTAGTTACCTCGGAGGAGATGAGATATGAGAGATGAGAGAGCACGAGCCGGAGATGAGAGAGCACGAGCCGGAGATGAGAGCTTGAGGTTTGTGTCGGAGATGAGAGAGCACGAGCCAGAGATGAGAGAGCTCGAGCTGAGGTAGATTCTCTTTGCTATCACAAAGACCATCACAATGAACAATAGAACAGAGCTAAAAGATAGAGAACAAAGAGAGAGAACAATAGACTGTTACCTCAAAGAGAGAGAGNAGATGAGAGAGCACGAGCCGGAGATGAGAGCTTGAGGTTTGTGTCGGAGATGAGAGAGCACGAGCCAGAGATGAGAGAGCTCGAGCTGAGGTAGATTCTCTTTGCTATCACAAAGACCATCACAATGAACAATAGAACAGAGCTAAAAGATAGAGAACAAAGAGAGAGAACAATAGACTGTTACCTCAAAGAGAGAGAGCTCGAGATGGGTTTGCTTCAGAGAAGAGAGAGAGAGCTCGAGATGGAGTGAGAAGCTTGGGAGAGCTTGAGAGACGAAGCTTGAGGCTAGGCTTCATTCGAGATGAGACACCATGGAGAAGAGAGCTTCGAGATGAGATGATTTCGGAGATGGGTAGATCGGAGAGAGAGCTTGGGATGTCTGAGGTCGAGAGTGAGAGAGCCTGAGAGCCTGAGATCCTGAGAGAGTCGAGAGGTTTGAGAGGGAGAGAGAGACGAGAGATGAGATTTGGCGTCACTGAAGCTGCGTCAAAAGAGATGAGATTAGGGTTAGGTATTTTGGTAAATAATGAAGTACTGTAAGGGTAGTCGTGTAAATTACTTCTATTAACGCAGAAATCTGCGTCAAAACGCTGATAAAATCGGCGTCAAAAATTTTTAAACGCGGGACGCAGCGTTAAACGCCGCGTCTAGACGCAATTATCCGCGTCAACAAAACGAACATGATTTGTCAAAATAATTGACGCCGACGCCGACGCAGCCACCGGCGTCAACCAAACGAACAGCCCTGAAGTCATGGGTGTATAATTTCTTTTCTTGGAAGGAAATGGATGCTCTTGGGAGAGAGATAGAGGCGCTAAAGCCACAAGTGAGGAACATGTTCATGTCTTCCAAAGGCATTAAGAAGAAAATTCTTTTTACCTATTTGCTTTTGACACTTGGTCTCGCGTATCATTTCGAGGATGAAATCGTGAAAACTCTAAAAGATGGTTTCCAAAAGATAGAGGAGATGATGGCAGGTGAAGAAGATTTGTACACGGTTTCCGTCATCTTCTATGTTTTCAGGACATATGGTCACAACATTTCTTCTGGTAAGGATTCTCTGACTAGGTTTATGATCATACACCCTTTTTAGCACATCTAACTGTGTAACTACTATTAGTCAAAAGAAGAAAACTGTGTAACTACTACGCACTACGCAGTTAAATATCCAGAAAATATTGGGTACGTGTACAACTAAAATTAATATACTAAACTTAATAAGATTTTATTTCCTTTTTTTTTAAATATCAAATATAACATAACATCATCTTTTAATTGGTGAATCTAGAGATTCATCTTACAGGGTTAACCAAAGAATAACTCTTTTATAAATGCTCAAATGAGATAGTTTTACTCAATCATTATTTTAAAAATATATCAAATATAAAATAACATCATTTTTTAGTTGGTGTACCTAGAGATTCATCTTATAGAGTGAACTCAAGAATAACTCATCAAATGAGATAGCTTTACTCAATCATGGTTTTGATCAAATAGATTCCCTACTTTTTAGGAAACTAGTTTTTTGCTTTCTCTTATTATTTTCTGCTTTAAAACCAAATCTTCATACAAAAAAAAATGTTTTTCTTCCAGTTAATAAAATTGTTAATTTTATTAAATAGTCTACTATATAAGAACTACTCTACAACTCTATAAACACACACACAAGTAAACATGAACCTAAAAAATATTAAATAAGTTTATGTGTGTTATTATAATACTGTTTTTCAGAGTAAATTTTTTGGTAATAATAATATTTAAAAAAAAAATTCAAAATCCATTTTCTATCCAATAGAATTATTTTTTAGTATGACTATTATTGTGTACTATACCACATTTGTAGACTTATGTTTTCCAATTTTAGAAATATTTGTTAACTTCTTAAAAACAATGTATGTAAAAAACTCCTTTTCAATGTATTTGACTGGATCTCTACCGATGAAGGCATATGAATTTATCCGAAACTACTGAATTTTGATCACTGCACCATAAAAATCTATTACACAGTAAAAAAACTTTAAAATGCTAATATTGAAAATATGATATTTTATTAATTTCTTATTTATTGAAAATTTAGTTTTTATCTATACGTTCAAAGTATTTTAAAAATATGTATGCAAAATAAGAAAGATTTGATTTCAGTGTTATATACAGATTAAATTTCAGAAATTCGAATTTAATAGATGTATATCATCAAAAGTAAATGAACTTCTAGTTCTAATATCATAAAATAATATCAAAACTTTTTGAAGTATTATGAAAAACTAGAGATGAGTTCCCTTGTAATAAAAATAAACATTACAATTTTTATTTTTATTGTATATTGATTATTAATTTAAAATTTAAATGAGACAATATATTTACATAAGATTTATTTATTCTTATCTTATTTTTATCAAGTTTTTCATATTCTCAATCAGCAACTCAAAAATGGTGGAATGTACATATTTATCGTATTATTATCTTAGTTTTTATCATATTTTCATATTAATTCATAGAATATTAATTTATAGAAACTTTTATTATATATCCTTTGAGCTTTCTAATGTTGATCTGCCCTAGCAGTATATTTGAAAACAACTTCGACTTAAAGAAATAAATATCAGTCAATTTTATTAAATTTACTATATATTAGTACTTGCAAATTTTCATATAATCGAACAAAGTACGCATCAGAAATATGTTTAATACTAAATGTGGATAGGATCTACAAATAATATGAGACAATTCCTACTTGTGAGTAGTGATTATGACATACATTAGCTTTTTTCAAAAAAAAATAAAAAAAGAAAGAAAAAAAGACGTATGCATTAGTTTTATTATTTGATCCGAAGATTTTCAATTTGGTCAACAGATGTTTTTGGGAGATTCAAAGGAGACAATGGGGAATTTAAAGAATGTCTTACAAGAGATGCTAAGGGTATCCTAAGCTTGTATGAAGCTTCCCACATGGGGACGACTACAGATTATATATTGGATGAAGCCTTGACCTTCACAATAAGTAACTTGGAGTCGTTAAGTTGTACATGCAAACCTAATCTCTCAATGCTTATAAGGAACTCTTTGGATTTACCACAGCATAAAAACATGGAGATATTGGTGGCAAAGGAATATATCCGGTTCTACGAAAAAGAAGAAGATTGCGACAGGACGCTACTCAAGTTTTCCAAGCTTAACTTCAAATACCTCCAGTTTCTTTACCTTCAAGAACTCAAAATGCTTTCAAAGTAACTATTTATTTCTCCCCAGGAATTGCTATAATCTAATATATGTACCTTTCGCAGCTTGCTGAAATATTAATGTGTGTATGCAAGATGGTACAAGGAACAAGACTTTGAATCTAAGTTTCCACCTTACTACAGAGACCTACTCGTGGAAACGAACTTCCATACGCTAACACACATGGAGCCGAAACATTCACGACTGAGAATTTTTGTGACTAAACTTTACATAATGGAAGTAATACTAGATGATACTTGTGACAGATATGCTTCTCTAAGTGAGGTCCAAATGCTTGCCGATACCATTGAAAGGTACATTATATACATATATCGTGTTATTAAATAGCTTGAGTCTTCCACTCTTCATAATAATAGAATATTTTAGCTTTTGAGAAATTGTTACGTCATGCTGTGTTTTCTACAGTGTCGTTTAACATTTCTCCTAATCTTATCCAGATCTATAGTAGTCTAATAAAAAGTAGATTCAATCTCTGAAAATCTGTTATACATATCACGTTGTTTCTCTAAACTATACTCTAATTTAATAAGTTTAGGCTATTTTGAGTTACTATAAAAATATTATTTTCATGATTACCTTAAATCTTTTTGTAATTTTTGGTATTAGTGTAGTACATATGTAATTTATCAACAGAGACCTTTATATCTTATTACATAAAAATCACAGATAAAATGATGATGACTATACATATTGATAACGTAGGTGGGATCTCGATGATCATGCCATGGATGGACTACCAGATTATTTGAAATCATTAGTTAAATTCATATTTGGTACATTCGAAGAATTTGAAAGAGAACTTGAGTCAGAATCAGGAGGGCTTTACGGTTTGGAAGCTACAATTGAAAAAGTAAGCAATCCAAAAATTTAATAACCAATCGTAAATGATTTTTGGAGCAATTAGTAATAACAATTGATTTTGAACCTTCCAGCAAATTTCAGTTCAAGAGATTAATGAGAAGTAACCTTCAACTTGCCAAATGGGCAAGTGCGGACCACTTGCCTAGCTTTGAGGAGTACCTAGATGTTGCTGGAGTCGAGACTGCTATAGAATTTACCGTGGCAGGTATTTTGATGGCAATGGAGAATATCTGCAAGGCAGAGGCTTATGAGTGGTTGAAAACTAGAGACAAACTCGTTAGAGCACTGGCTACAAAAACGCGACTACCTAATGATATGTTTGGCTATAAGGTTAAAAAAATGTTTGATTTTTTTCGATGATTCATATTGGTTTTATTGTTTGTATAATTAGATTTAACATGTACGTTACATGATTAGGATGACATGAGCAGAGGATATTTAACTGGTTCGGTCAACTGTTATAAGAAGCAGTATGGAGTTACCGAAGAAGAAGCATATAGAAAGCTTCGTCAATTGATTGCAGAAGGTGATAAGATGATGAATGAGGAAATTTTGAAGCCAATCAATGTGCCACGCCAGGTTCTAAAGGCAGCCATGATAGACACTTTACGTGAATTAAATGTTGCCTACAGTAAAGACGATGGATTTACCCGTCCCGATGGACATTTCAAGAACCTTATAACGTCTATTTACGTTGATCTTTGAGGACGCTGGTGTATCCAATCCAGCATACTTGTGGTTTAGCAAGTAACTGGAAACGTACTTTGTTTGTCCTACAAATACTTAACGTTTTGTGTTGCTTTCCCTGTTGGTTGGGTTTTGCTTTTATGTTGCTTTTTGATGACTTTGTTTCCATCATAGTCCAAAAAGCTTTACTTCTGTAATGGATTCTATGTTTTCGTTTGGCTTTCTTCTGATGTATTCGATTTATCTTGATCTTCTTCTTCTTCTTCTTCAAGGTTTGCGTTCTGTAGCCTTTATAAAGGCATCGTTGTATGTAAGGAGTCTCTGCCATTTTCTCGAAATCAGTTGTCTCGTGATCGTGAACAAAGTTGAATCATCGATGTTGAATGTAAATGGGAAAAATAACATTGGTTATACTGACGTGTCACATCATTTTGGAAACTAAGATCATTTTCATTTTCATTGGGGGTTTTCTCCACTGGGTTCTTAATATATGTACTAGATTTTGACCCGCGCAACCGCGCGGGTATTTGTTTTCATTTATTATATAAATATTTTGTTTTCGTTTCTGAATTGGTATATATTATATTAATCAAATTTATGAGATGTATATATTATTATGTTTTTAAAACATCTATTATATTAAAAGGAAGTCATGACCCACTTCATGTGTGATTTTTTAGTTTGGACCATCCTTAGAAAGTTTATATAAATTTACTTAACATCATTATAATATCTTTTCATATCTTTAATTTTTATTTGAAATACAAATAAATAATTTTAAGAAAGTTCTAACAAAATCTTTTAAGAATCTTATAGAATATTTTCAAGATATAGTTTCAAAATTATTTATTATATTAAAAGATAAGTCATGACTCACTTCATGTGTGATTTTTTAGTTTGGACAATCCTTAGAAATTTTATATAAATTTACATAACATCATTATAATATCTTTTCATATCTTTAATTTTTATTTGAAATACAAATAAATAATTTTAAGAAAGTTCTAACAAAATCTTTTAAGAATCTTATAGAATATTTTCAAGATATAGTTTCAAAAATTATTTGATTAAAAATTTAATTATCATAGAACATTATTAAAATTTAATTCATTTTTTTAACAAAAAAATTAAAATTATGTAATATACTTTTAACAATAACCCGAAATTTTGTTACTTAATATATGATGTTTTGGATCATAGCACGAAAATTAAGAAATTTACATTATTTTACAAAAGTATTTTTAAAGATATTATTTTATAATCATTCAACAAATTATTAAAAAAAGTAAAATTTTATTGGTTGAACAGTTTCCAATAAAGTTATAACTTTAAAACCTCAAAATATACCTTAAAATCTCAAAACATCTTATATTAAAATAAAATAAATCTTATAAAACATCATCTATTTAAAACAGAGTGAGTATTATATAATTTCAAATATTTCCGTATTAAAATACCCGCACGGTTGTGTGGGTCGAGATCTAGTAATAATATTATAGTATATTTGTTTTCATCAAATAGATTGTTTCAAATTATCACACGTGTTTTTTTATTCTATATTTTTTTGTTTGTTTTTTGAATAAGTATTTCATTATTAAATAAATAAATAGGAATAGAACTTGGTAAAATATTTGTATACTTCAGTTTGTAAAGATAATGTAATATTTCTAAAATAAGAAAGTTTAGCAAAAGCTAAACTGATAGCTTCATATATTTTAATTATAAAGAATTTAATTAAAAATTTAATTCTATTTTTTAAATGAACTATATAAATTTTGAAATTAACATGGAAAAATTTTAAATTAATTACATATCAAAATATACTATTTCTCTCAAAATTATATACATTTAATTTAAACACATATCTTATAATACAATATATCTATAAATGCAATGGGCTAACTATTCTTTAAATTAAATTAGTATAAACCCAACATAACTTTATTCTAAGCCCAACATCTTATAGATTTTTTTTTTGTTTTTCACTTGATTTACTCTATCTACATACGTGTAGATGGAGTATGTTTACCCTTTCGAATCGAGAAGTTCATGTTCAGGAGAAGATATATATGGAGCCCATGCCATTATATAAGTTCACTATGCAGTTCCAATCAATACTTGAAAACAGAGGTGAGTCATATTGCTTTATGCGATTCCGATCGATATGTGATTCCGATCAATATTTTATTTTTGAAACCGATATTGCTTTCAGAAATTGGTGGAATTGTCCCTAAATGCACCTCATATTTGTCATCTAACCTTCCAAAATAGAAACTATTTTGTCTGACCATTATACCCCTATCTCATTCTCTCTCTCTTCTCTTCCATATCTTCTAATCTCTTTATCTCTCACACATGACATATTTATGCTTTTATTTTTTCATCATAAATCTCTATTTTTTACTCTGATTCTTTTGACACCCATATTGCTAATGTTATTATCTCACACTAATTCTATTATTTTTAATTTCAAATCTTGAAATATACATTCTTTTATTTGGATAATATGTAAGTTAGCAGCTATTTCATTATTTACCGTTATTATTATATTTTAATGAATTTGTAACCGATACATAGAGTGTTAGCTGTTACAAATAGGATTACGGCTATTTGATAGATAATTGATTAGCGGTTAATATATGTATTTTTATGATAATAGTATTATTAACATGCTAATATATTTGTTAGCGATTTATTTAACACATTAATAAATAGACATAACCCGATAACAAAANAGTGTTAGCTGTTACAAATAGGATTACGGCTATTTGATAGATAATTGATTAGCGGTTAATATATGTATTTTTATGATAATAGTATTATTAACATGCTAATATATTTGTTAGCGATTTATTTAACACATTAATAAATAGACATAACCCGATAACAAAATTTGTAGCATGTTAAAATTTTGTCAATTTGCTAACAATTTTTATATCATGTTAAAATTGATAAATATCTCTTAGTGTTACAGTTAACATAATGTGTATCCGTTAAATCTAAAGTTACATGTTTTCGATAAAGTAAGAGGGCATTTTCGTCCGCACAGTGTCAAAAGGTTACTCCTTTTTGGATTATCCATAACCATGGACATTTCGCCAATTTGGATCTTCGTTGGGTACATTACACCAATTGTCTCTATTGCTTTATAATATGAAGGAATCAAGATCAGTTTCTGTTACCTGGGTTTGTTAATTTTTCTCAATTACAAAACTCTGTAATGCTTTTTCCAAATGATTCATCGATTTTGGGTACTTTGAAAGGCCAATATTTTCTGTTTATTAGTTTTGTGTGTGTTAGTGCCAAAGAATGCTTTTAGTTTTCACAAAGATACCGAGAATGCTTCCATTCATCTCTACGGGACACAATAAAAAAAGAGGTTGAGAGGAAGAATATTAATTATAGCTTGAGAGTTAGTGATTGAACGAAGCAATTGTAACTTATCCTTTAAAGAACCTCTCTTCTTTTCCCTCGGATTCATTCTTCTTCTATGTTTGATGTCATACACCTCTTCCTTGTATAGAGATTCCTTGATTGATTTCCACTCTCTTCTATGTAGAGGTGTCATGCTCTGTGTATATGCACTATATATATATGAGAAGGAGGAAGCAAAGATCTTAGTTTTGCAAAGATCAACTCGAGTATTTCTTCCATAGTTGGTTTTTTGTCTCCATGAATGAATCAACTTCACTTGGACAACATAGTACTAACGTCGAGTAACATAGTACTAACGTCGATATATATAGTTGGCGAAATTTCTAGGGTATTGTAGAGTGAATATTCTTCAAAATCTATGACTTTTATTATATAAAATATTCGCTTTGACCGAATTGGTTGTTATTGTTACTATATTGTGGATATTGATATATTTTTATAAAAGCATTAAATGGAGGATATTGTGTATTAGTTGTTATGGAAAAATATAGTAGATTTGGTGAGTAGATTATGGCAACAATAATTAGTGATAATGAACTAAAAGGTTTGATATATATCTTAACAATATTCGAAGTTGTGATCCCCAAGCAATATAGGTTCAAAAGAAATTGTATCTACTGTAATCTTTTGCGTGGATCAGTTTGAAAAAATTACAACTGAATTTTTAATTGGTAAAATCGTATCTAAATATTATATCTATTATAAATGATTATATTTGCTTGACAAGTAAAAACATATATTCTTAATTTATATCAAAACTTTTAGGTGGTTTGCCATTGTTGATATCCTTGGTCATGATATAAGAGTACGATGGTCAATGGTCATTAAGATAAACTCATAAACTTATCATTGTTTAGATTTTGAATTTGATCATTGTTTAGATTTTGAATTTTATTTTGAATTTGATCACAAACCTTTTAGCTGGATAAACTCATAAACTTATCATCACACACCTAAGAACTATGTCCATGATAACATTTGTAAAAGCTTATTACAAAGTTTAGATGTTTTATGTTAACAGCATGTATATATTGATGGTCGAAGGTAATTTGAATCACAAATTATCTTTTCAAACCAGAAGTTATATTTCTATTTAACTTCTGAAATTTATCATCACACACCTAAGAACCCTGTCCATGATAACATGTGTAAAAGCTTATTACAAATTTTACACGTTTTGAATCACATGGTATCGTTTCAAACCATTGTATATTAGACTATTTAATATGTTGTATTTCTGCTATAAATTTATACTCACACGTTTTATACTGACATTTCTGCTGTATATTTAATGGTTAAGTACATTTAATACTATATGTTGCACTCTCCAAATCGAAAAATTGTATAAAAATGGTATAGATTTGATACCGGTTATAGAAAACCAGAAACGTAGGCGTAGGTAAATATTATATGTGTGACCATTAGTTAGTTAGGATTATTAATGTAAAGATTCTTCTGAGATTAAATGTAAGTCCCCTTTCTAGGAATAGGTCCAAAATTTTAAATATCACACATCAAGTGAAGTTGTGACTTCTGTTTTAATATATAAGATATATATATATATATGCATATACCATATATCTGTAAATAATTGTGTGATTCACAATTAAGGAACCCAATAAAGAAGAGTTCTTAAAAGATTCTTAAAAAAAATTTTTTTGTCACTGAAATACTTCATTAATTTAAAAGTAGAGAATGAGTATAAAACAGACCCAGACCAAAGTTTACAACAAAGATAGATGGGCTTGAAGAGCCCTCTTGGCTAAGCCATATGTGATAACGTTGTCGGAATGAGAAAGATGCGAGAAAGAGATGTTTGCAAACTCAGAGGAGATCAGTCGGATGTCTTTCACAATACTGATGATCTCTTTTGATTGTGTTGCCGTTGATTGCTCTAACGAGCGTTAGCTTGTCAGAAAAAAAAAACCTAAGGGTAGGGATCTCCAAGGTTTAAGCCATGCAGAGAGCACTTCGGACCGCTACTGCTTCCGCTACGAGAGGGGATCCGATGAACTGCTCGACCCTCGATCCTTCGATTGGTGCATCCAATTGCGGGCCGGTGAAGATCCAAGCTACACCAGCCAAGCGCCGGTCCTTATTCCAGGCCGCGTCAGTCTTGCATGTTGAGGCGTTGTCGCTAATCGGAGCCATTCGCACATCCTTGCCGTGCTTTTGATGTAGAGAAGGTAGATTTCCATTCTTCTTTGTTTCTCTTTGCGATTAAGACCATTCTCTTGCTAACTAGATTCATTTGATGGATGTTTCTTCTGGTGCTATAGAGCGTCCTTCGAAGACCAAGATGTTTCTTGCTGTCCAGATTGCCCAAATTACCCAAAGAATGACACTAAAAGTTGACCTGAAGGGGGAAGCAGTTCGCTTTTCTGAACAAGATCACTATCTCAGAAAAAAAAGTTCCCATAGCTATATTCAGGCTTCTCGAAAGAGGGATCATCTCCCAAACCATTCTTGCAAAAAGACAGGTAAAGAAACAGTGAACCACCTTTTCTATCTCTTGGCATCTGACACAATAACGTAAACCTATTAGTCCTATGTTCTATAGGTTACATCCCAGGGGAATAGCATTATGCATGATAGACCATAGGAAAGTTTTCATCTTCGGAGAGAACTTTTCGGCTCATATGTCTTTGATCCAGTTGAAATTCTCCCATGTGTCTCTGGGAGAAGGGTTCACAAACATGTTGCAGGCGGCAAAGTAGCCAGATTTGGTAGAGTATACGCATGTTTTTGTTGGGTGCCAAAGGAATGTGTCTTCTTTTCCCTCCGGCTTGGTTGGATACAAAGGATTTGTTTAATGTCCTCTTTTAAAAACCTTTATCTATGGGGTTCTACAAAAAATGTAGACTCTGCAGTTATTTATACATATATATATATATATATATATATATATATATATAAAACACATATATTAAGAATTCCAGTGAAAAGAATTTCTAGTAGAGTGCTCTAAGAATATCATTATTGTAGGTTTTTTAGGGAAATATAAGAAACTTTTTAGTTTCTTATATTTTTTTTTAAGAAATCCACTGCAGAAAACATGCGACAATGATGGTCTAACACACTCTTATAGTGTGGAAAAGAAATTTTGATTTGATGGATTTTGAGAACAAGCATTATATATCCTCTAAACATTATTTGTAGTTGTTTTTAAAGTCTTATAAACGTATCATTCTCACATTTATTTTAGAGAAAATGATTACAAGAGTTATTCAAAATGATGACATAGACACCCTCATATTATACCATGTAAAATTTAATGATAAATAATTAAAGATTTTTATTTTTAGTTAAAATTTTAAAATAAAATAGTTACAGAATCTTGATACATAACATAAATGTAAACTATTTATGATTACTATTAATATTCTAAAAATATAAAATTTAAATATATTTCTTTATTAAATGAACTTGTTATAAAATAAGTAATAGTTTTGTTTAATTATTTATATTTTCAAAAAAAATGATTATGAAGTATCAACAAATAAATTATGAAAATTTTGATTAAAATTTTATAAACAGTTAAGCTATACTTGGATCCAAAAGTATATAGATGATTAATCAAAATCCCAATCTATTAAATTATTTGGATTTAAATGTCATATAATAATTATTGTGTGATGATTATAACTTTATTGAGATAAATAAATATTACTGATGGGATGAAATCAAAAAAAAAATCTACTCAGAACTATAGTTTAAATATATGAATATAAAATAAACAATTATTCTTTTAACATAATTTTACTTAATTTAACGAAACCAAAAGTTAAAATAAATATTGTTAAGTCAAACAGTAAATAAATAAATAATTGTTATTTTTATTTTGTAATTATATTATATATAATTTGAAAGATTTATTTCTGTGTATGGACCAGAAAACAAACTAGTTTTACTGATCTTTTCAGTGTAAAATATCTAAGAAGATGGGCTTATTAGTAGAGTTTTGTAACCGCAGCAGACCCATAAAGTCACTATTGGTATCGTATCGTCTAAACCTGATTAGATAATTAGCGAGAGAGATTCCCCGATTTAGGGTTCCGATCCTCTTCCCCAAAATGGCCGATTCGTCTCTCCCTCCCCCTGATTCCGTCGACAACCGCCCCTCGGAGAACACCAATTCTCCTTCACCTCCTCCTCCTCCTCCTCCGCAGCTCGAGCAGCAGCAGCCTCCTCACGGCCGCGATTCCCGCGAGAGGCGCGACGACAGAGACCTAGACCGTCCGCCTAACCGCCGCGACCGCTCTCCCCTCCCGCCGCCCCGCAGGGAGTACAAGAGGCGGCCTAGCGGCAGCCCGCCGCCGCCGTACAGAGAGAGGCGGCACTCTCCTCCCTTGCGCCGCTCGCCTCCTCCTCCGAAGCGTTATCGGAGGGATGATAATGGATATGATGGACGACGCGGCGGTTATGGACCTCCGGATAGAAGGTAATTTCGATCTGTTATCTGAGGGAATGTTATAGTTTCGGATTATCAATTTTTTTTGTTGTGTGTTTGGAATGATAGATTTGGATATGAGAATGAGCGTGAAATGGGTGGGAGGCATGGGTATGGTGATGAGAGACCTCCTGGTCGCTTTATGGGGCGTTATCAAGGTGAGACATCTGTTGAGATTTGATTAACTTCATTCTTTAGGGCTTTGTATCAATATGTATTGCGTTTTTGTGTGTTTCTTTTGGCAGATTGGGAGGGAGGTCGTGGAGGAGGTTATGGTGATGCATCTAACAGAGGAAGTAATCAAAGGTCAGAGTTCCGTTTTTTATGTTCTTTTTTTTGTTTAGTAAATGTGCAAAACTAGGAAGTATGAACTGTCTAATGATGATTCCTTTGAAAGTGTTCTTTGCTCGAAGAACTGTATGTTTTCCCACTCTATAATTTACTCCAAAACGGAGTGATGAGTAAAAAATAAAAATTACTCCAAGTAATGCTTTTATTTTTTGTTCATTACTCCATTTCCCACTCCACTTTTGAGATGCTCTTAGAGTGAATGTTTGAGAGTGGGGACAGACGATTAATCCATTAGTTTTTCAAACATGAGCTGTTGAAGTCTATCATCTCTATTTTGGCATTGTTGTCTGAGTTTCAGATAAAGCCTTTCTTTTGTTCTCTGTTATTTTTCAAGATAAGAGGCAAACCAGAAGTGATGTTTGTGTATTATAGCAATAAACACCGTTGTATTTCTTTAATTCAGGGACGGATTGATGTCATACAAACAGTTTATCCAGGAGTTGGAAGATGATATATTGCCATCAGAAGCTGAACGCAGGTATGGTTATAATGGCAAAAATTGTCTTGGTGCTTAAAGCTGCAGGGGTAATGCCTTTTTTTTTCTTCCTGATGTAGATATCAAGAATACAAGTCAGAGTATATCACAACACAGAAACGTGTTTATTTTAACACTCACAAAGATGAAGAATGGTGATTTCCACCATCTGTTCCCTTGGTTTACTTTCTTGTAGGAAATTCTGCTTATCTATTAACATGCTTATCTTATGATACGCTTCCAGGTTGAAAGATAAGTATCATCCAACCAACTTGCTAACTGTCATTGAAAAGTGAGTTCAATTCTTTTGAAAATTGCAGCAGTTAAAGTCCGTGATAGTCTGTTTTGTGTTATATACTGTACACGTGATATCTTGTTTTCTTTATCGATTCCTTTAAATTTTCAGGAGGAATGAACATGCACGGAAGGTGGCGAAGGACTTCACACTTGACTTACAGAGCGGGAATCTTGATTTGTAAGATCATTTCCTTTGCCTCTACTCGGCATTTATGATTATGATTATTCTGCCATCCCTAAAGCCCACAGTATTTCTTCGATCTGTTGCAGAGGTCCTGCAGTGACAGCATTGAATAAAACAAATGAGCCAATGTCTGAGGATGAAGCAGGTGGTGGTGGTGGTAAAAGACCTGTTAAGGGGGGAGGTAAAGAGAGTGACTTTTCAGCGGCACCAAGAGCACCCAGCTTCACTTCTGATCCAAAGAGAATCCTAACTGACATTGAACAAGCACAAGCCCTTGTTCGTAAGCTGGACTCTGAGAAAGGAATTGTGGAGAATGTTTTATCAGGTTCAGAAACTGAAAGTAAAGACAAGTCGCACAGTGGCTCGACTGGTCCAGTTATAATCATAAGAGGTTTGACATCTGTGAAAGGCCTTGAGGGTGTTGAATTGCTTGACACGCTTATCACGTATCTCTGGCGTGTTCATGGTGTGGACTATTACGGAAAGGTTGAAACAAGCGAAGCTAAGGGTCTGCGGCATGTGAGAGCTGAAGGGAAAGGTTCTGATGCAAAAGGAGATGAGGGTGAAGATAAATTTGATTCTCATTGGCAACAGAGGTTGAAAGGTCAAGATCCCCTGGAAGTGATGGCTGCCAAGGAGAAGCTAGATGCTGCTGCTATTGAAGCTTTAGATCCACATGTCCGAAAGATCAGGGATGAGAAATATGGTTGGAAATATGGTTGTGGAGCTAAAGGCTGCACGAAACTGTTTCATGCTGCTGAATTTGTGCACAAGCATCTCAAGCTGAAGCACACTGAGCTTATAGTGGATCTCACTGTCAAAGTGCGGGAAGAGCTGTATTTTCAGAACTATATGAAGTATGTAGGCCGTTTCTCGTGAATTGCTCTTCTGTTATTTCCTTTTGGGTTGTCATGATTTTTTGTGTGTCATTTGCAGTGATCCTAATGCTCCAGGAGGACAACCAGCCACGCAGCAACCTGGCCCGGTAAATGATTTTTTTTCATCAATTGATCTAGTGTTGAGTAGTTTATAATTTTGAATTTTACTTAAATGGCTGACTCATACCTTTGGCAGAGAGATAGACCTATGATGAGACGTAAACCAAGCATGGAGAACAGATTGAGGGATGATCGAGGTGGACGCAGAGAGCGTGACAGAATTGACCGGTCAGAGGATCAGCAGAGAGGTGATGGTAATGGTCCAAATCCCGAGGAAGGTGGTTACGATGCATTTGGTGGACAAGGCGGTGTTCATGTTCCTCCCTACTCTACTGATATGAACGCACCACCAGTGCTGATGCCTGTTCCCGGTGCCGGGTAGGTTTAGCAATGACTACTCACTCTCACATGATCTTGTATAATGGTAAATAAAGAGTTATTGACTGAATGATGATGTGGACAGGCCATTAGGACCATTTGTACCAGCACCACCTGAGTTTGCGATGCAGATGTTCAGGGACCCTAGTGGAGGACCAAACCCTCCTTTAGAAGGTGGTGGCCGAGGTGGACCAGCCCCTTTTCTTTTGTCTCCGGCCTTTAGACAGGATCCTAGACGGCTACGCAGGTAATGTGGTTCACTCTACGCTATGAGTATAAACATCACACATTGCTTTCAACCTAGAGTCGGTTAGCTTTGAACAAGAGAGTAGTGTGTCTTGTCTATAAGAAACTAATGTAATGAAAAAATGATGCAGCTACCAAGACCTAGATGCTCCAGAGGAAGAGGTAACCGTTATTGATTATAGGAGCTTGTAGGCAAAGGGAGAAAGCTTGAAAGAGATGTCTGGTCTTGCTATGTAACTTTCCCAACATTTATAACTCTTTGTGGCCGTCAATCTATACTATTTTCCATATGCCAAATTTGTACCTCAACAATAAACAGATTTGTGTTACGGAATGTTTTTGATTTACATGATTTTCAAGGTTTTTGTTTTTAAAACTTTACTTGGTTCGAAGTTTTTTTATTGCATCTCTATACAATAACTCATTATTAGTGATGTAAAACTAAATTATACTACATCCGTTCTATAATATAGGATGTTTTACCAAAAACACAAGAATCAAGAAATTTACTTTCTACCAAATAATAATAGATATTTATGGTGGATAAACCAACCATGAATAATACAGTAAAATATTATTGGTCAATCAATTTTTAATCAAGTTAAAATACTTTAAAATTGTCAAAACATCTTATATTTTGGAATATCAAAATTTCTCTAAAACATCTTATATTATGGAACGGAGGTAGTAGCATTCTGATTGAAAATCATAGCCCTTTTTTTAGCAACAATCATTGCCCTTTTTTTTAGCAACAATCATTGCCCTTTTATCATTGAAATATTTACATATATGGTATGTCTTATGTGATATGCTGAGTAGCAAATAGATTTTTTTACTATGATACATTTCTACTTATAATTGCACAATAAGACACTTCCTGCTGGTCAGGCACTTTATGTCTGTCTATTGTTTTTTATACCCTCAATCTTGACCAAACCATATTAGCCTAACCAGAGATAACTAACCATGATTAAAATATCTCTCTCTCTATTGAAAACACAGATCTACTTTTCAAAAACACAGATGAATAAATCTCCCAAATATTCAGTTCTACTGCCGCCTCAGCATCACTGTGACCAAACTACCCAACATCACGCACTCTAGCTGGTGGTTATCTACGCCGTCTCTCCAAAGGTCGTGCACACCACAGCCTCCGATTTCATGAACGTTGTCCAGCAACTCACCGGAATCTCCGCCCAGTCTTCCACGAATCTACAAATCCAGAAACGATGGAGATGTGTCCCCGGCGGCGAGACTTGCCGTGACGGAAAATTCTTGCCGGCTATGTAAACGACGTTGTGTCTCTCATAGATAAGAGCTTTTGTTCTTGTGGATATCTCCGTTTTTCCCTTCTTCCACCTTCAATCTCCCTTGCTGTGGGCGATGAAAGTGAGTTTGTTACTCTTCTGCATTGATGAAAAGTCAAATCAAGAAACTGAGGTTCTTATAAGTTATGTTTACGTTTGTTATTAAACAATTGTTACGTTTGTAATTATACGGATCAAGAACGATTGTTATCTTTCATTATTATGCTTGTTTGGTTGCTTCACCATGTTTACTGACTTTAGTCATATTGGATTTTCCATCCATGTCCACTGTTTTTTTTCTGTTTACATATCTTTTACATGTTCAATTTTTTGTCATCCACATTTTATATACATATCTTCTTATAATTTGTTAAAATATATATATATGAAAATGGATCGTGTTGGATAGTTTATATATTTTTCACATTTTTCATCTATATATGTCCACATTTTTTTGGTCTACATATTTTTCCAATGTTCAGATTTTTACTGTTCACATTTTATATATATATAATGGATCTTAAAATGAAGAAGATAAAAAATTATAGCTTTTTATATGAATATTAATTATTTTATACTTTAATATTTAAAATAATCACAAAGAAATAGAGAAAGAATTAATGATAGTAATATTTAAAAAAAAAAATCAAATAATTATTTCTGTACGATTTATTTTTACTAATAAAATACTAACCAATCTTTTTTGTCGTTCTTTATTTAAGGAGGGGTAGGTCAGTCATAAAATAAATTGTGGATAAGAAGATTGTGTCCCTCTTACTGTGTTTATGACAAAAAAAGAGAACAAAGTGTCTTAGGACGTAACTCACTCTAGCAAATATTACTTGGTCTTTTAAATTTAAATTGTAATTATTTTTGGTATATTTTTGTTAGAGGCTCTGTTGATTTATTTTATCATAAAAAACATAAGAAAATAAAATTATGAAATAGAACAGTAAAATAGAATGTTGAATTTTCGTATACAAAATCACTAGAGAGTAAAAGATAAATATTACATTGTTATTTTTGGGTTTTTTAAGGTAATGAATATTGAATTATTAGGTGGAATAAGGGTGTTGAATCCAGATTCGGTTCGGTTTTTTGGTATTTCAGTTTATAAAAAATAGTTACTATATTAAAATCATATATAATTTGGTTTGGTTCGGTTTATATATTATTGGTTTTTCAGTTTATTAGGTTTTATACAAAAAAAACATAAATATATTTTATAACACTTTGTAAATTTTACTATATATGATTAGATATTCATTTTATTAAACATAAAGATCTTTGAGTTTTAAACATTATATTTTCTCTACTTTATTATACTATTTGAAATAATTAGTAAACATATTAAGTTAGTAATAATAATAATTTTTATAAACTAAATGTTAGTACTAACATTTTAAATTTATGCTTTATTTAATTTGAAGAAAAATAACTTTGAAATTAAATCAATAAATTACTAAAGTTTGCATTTTAAATATAGATAACATATCAATAAATAAATCATGTATATATTATATCATATATACATATATAACTATACCATTATATTTTAGTTAATCGATTTATTCGGTTTAATCGGTATTACCAAATCCAAACCACTTTCTCTATTCTGGTTCGGTTTTACCAGATTGAATCTCTAGGTGTAAGAAAATATGCAATGTTAAAAAGGAAAAAAATTGCTGGGAATTGAACAAATATTCATAGTCTAAGGTTGGTAACATCAACTAACATTCAAGGATTTTCATTGAACGAAATGTTCAGAAGTCCATCTTGGCATAAATGGGGATATTCTTCTTTGACCGACTCCATGAAATGAATGTTGAAAGTAACTAACTTCTTCATTTCTTCATGATCCTTTCTTTTAGCTATTTTCTTCTTTGAAATGGAAGCCTTTGATCAACTTTCTTTCGCATTGAAAACTTCCCTGATCAATTACCAACCATGCTTCTCCTTCCAAAACATAGCTTTCTCAAACTTTAAAGTTTGAATGTAAAAAAAGAAGTTCTCAACGAATCTTAAATAAGTTCAAATAGGAAACTTCCTCATTTCCAACCACAAATTCACAATGTACTATTGTTTATAAAAAAAACATTAAAACGCAATCAATAACCAAAAAAAAACATTCTGTAAAAAAAAAAAAAATCCTATAATCCAAAACAGCATTTGTACTCTCCTTCTTTTTTTTTTTTATGTCATTTGCAGTTTTTGGATAAAACTTTTGAAAAAAAAAAAAATCACCAAAGGTCCACGTCATAGCTGCACTTTCTCGAAACAATCCTCGACGGGGCCATCAACTTATCCACCGTAACATCACAATTAACCTTAACCATCATCCTCCACGTCTTAACCGAACCAACCTTAATCCTCACAGGCGCTCTAATCCTCACCCTAAACGGCACCGTTTTCTTACTCACCTCCCCACGCATCCCCTTCCTCACGCCGCTAGTCAACTGAATCCTCGACCCCGTCAACTCCGTCTTAACAACCGTCACATTCTTCGCAGGCTGGTAAAAAACCGGCAACGCGCCGTTACACAGATCCACGTCACCGTAGAAAACATCCACACTGCTCCCCTTCTCGTAATACACCCCGAGCTTCCCGTTACCGTTGCGCGACCTGACGGTTACGTCGAACTTGGGGGAGATCGGAGAGGGGGACGTGAGGTTGATGCCGGAGACGGAGAACCCCTCGACGGAGTATTTGGGAGCTTCGGGGCGGAAGACGAGGTAGAGGACGGCGAGGGAGATTCCGGCGAGGACGAGGAGGAGGAAGATCGCGGCGAGGAAGGAGCAGAAGCAGCACCGGCAGTTACTGCGGTTTGGTTTTTTCTGGGAGAGGAGTTGGAGACGGTGGGCGTTCTCAGGCGGGGGGACGCGGTAGATTTGGTCCTTGGGGACTTGGATGACGTAGGTGGAGGGAGGAGGAGCTGGCTTTCGGGGGAACTCTCCGGAGCTGAAGTTGCCGGAGAAATGGCCGCTCTGTGGTGGTGAATCCGCCGCGGGATGGACTCGTTCAGCCATTTTGAGAGAGAGGTTGATTCTGCGAAAGTAACTGTGAGAGAAAGAGAGTGAAACTGAGTTTTGAAATAAAACGTAGAGAGTGTTTGTTTGTTTAGTTAATATTTACAGAGAAGCGTTTTCTTTGTTAAATATTTAAGCAGGCGAGAACGCGTAGAGAAGAAAGAGGAAAGATTATTGTACGCGTTGCTCAAGGGAAGGGGGCCCACATTTGAATTTAACTGTGGACTTTTTTTTTTTAATATTTTAGGAAGTAGATCAATACGTGAATAGCAATGAATCAGGGACCAGTCCAACAGGCCAATACCTCCTTCCATTTACAATTATTTATGCTAGACAGTGATCAAATTCTCATAAGTATTATTATTATAATATTTATAAAGAATATAATATCTCAGACAGACGCAACGAAACAAATATATTAATAGTTTGTAACTTTATAGTAGTATATAAATAAATTAAAATTTACGTGCGCGCGAGTAAGATGACAAGCGCAAGTTAAAGAACCAAGTCTATAATGATGAGCGAGTTTACAGCTAAGAGGCAGAAAAGCAAACACGGTTGTCCAAATAACCTTTTAAGGTTTTCTTCGTTTTTTTTCAGCAAGAGACAGTTTACCGATTCACATCTTTCTTCTTTTTTTTTAAGTAAAAACGAATGTGTATCTTTTGTTGAATGGTAGTCTCCTATGGAAATGTACTAACTTTTACAAAAGCCGGTTAATGTTTTCGTGAACTTTAGTGAATGTTCATATAAACAACACATCAAACACATACAGTATATGTGAGTTTACAGGAAAAAAACACAGATATGTATATACTCCCTATGTTTTATATTATGTGTCATTCTAATATTTTTTTTTATTTTGTTTCAAAAAATATAATTCTATCTTTTCAATGCATTTTTTTATACATAATCTATTTTTTTACTCTTTTAAACAATCAATTAATTTTTATTTAAATAATTATACATTAATATATTTTGTCACATGGATTAAAAAGTGATAAAATATATTAACATATTTTTATTAATGTATAATTATTTAAATAATAATAAATTAAATAAAAATAAATTGATTGTTTAAAAATATATATGGAGAGAGTATATATTTTAAATTAGTTTTATATTCAAAATACATTATTTCTAACAGTAAGCAGACTATTACCTTGAGATAGCACACATTACAAATGAGTGTATAAAGTGGTACTGGACATTTGGAGTAAACCAAAAATGAACTGAACCAACCAAACTCTTTGGTTTTACGTCTGGTTTGGCTACAAACCGCTCAGAGATATTTAAAGATTAATTGCTTTTTAGTTCAATTCGGTTCGGTGCACATATAAGCTGATCGGTCATATACATATCAACAAAAAAATGAATAAACCGATAAATAAAAAAAATTGAAATTAACAAATTTTACTAATTAGTTTTTTATCCATTTAACGAATAAACCGAAGTGTAAAATGATTATGGTGGTTCTAAAAGGATTCGGTTCACTTCGAAACACAATAATATATCCAAAAATAAACCAAATTAAACAGAAAAATAGTTCGATTCAATTCACTGGCATTTTTACAAAACCAAAAAGATCAAAAACCAGTAACCGCGAAAATTCGGATGTTCTTCTCTAGTATAAAGGTTCATACAGAAAGCTATATAATGAATTCACGTAACTAATATGTCATCCGAATTAGGATTAGGCCACAACACCAGACATAAACCTTCCAATACTCCAATAGTTCATGTATGTTATATCCAAACTAAATAAAAAGGAAATGAATGGATACTTGAATATATAAAGTACTAGTTATATATACATTCAACATAACCAAATATATATATATATATATAGATTTATATATTTTATATAAAAATCTCTTAAATTATTTGAAAAAAAGAAAATTATAAAAAGAACATCTTAACTAACACGAAATTATGTGAAAATATTCAAAAATATTATCTGAAATAGTTAAAATAATCTGAGTTATCCAAAAAAGTGTCCGAATAATTTTAATTATTTGATATTTTATCTAGTAACTGATATTTTACCTGAAAGAACCAAAGGGGACTCAAATATTTTTGTTTTGTGTATTAAATTATTTCTAATTCTACTATCCAAACCAAACCTAAAATAGCTAGGATACTAGATGGATCCTCCAAAGTCCAAAGTTCAAACCCTACCAAAACTACCCAATATCTGAAATACCAAAGCAAACCGATACTCGAGATGTCCAAGTCTAATTCGGATAAACATTATTTCTTGAAAGGTCAAGATGTCTAATAATTGTATGTTGAAAGCACATTGTGCCAATTGTTGAGTGCACGTTAGTCTACATCACGAATTGTTTTATTGTTTATGGGGTTTCTTTATTTTAGACTTTGACTAAAAACGTAACTATATATTTATAATCGTAATTATCAATGTACAAGCAAGTATTCCTCTTTGTTAACAAAAAAGCAAGTAATCCCCATTTTATGTTAAGGATATATAAACACATACTATTAAGTAACTTTCAAGGAGTATTTTTCTTTAATTTATTTACCTTGAAAATATATTTTAAAAACATTTAGCCTTAAAAGTATCCTTTAAAACATTAATCAGTCAAAAAGTTAATATTTTTCTTCCCGTAACTAGTTTCTTGCTTTATTTCGGAGATATTAAGTACATAAAATAAGAACTCAGTAATTTAAATAAATAACCAACCAGATGTTAACATTTTTGTGAATAACAACATATCATCAAAAGTCAAATACAGAAATGGCAAGTGGGTACAGAAACTGTCAATTAGCTTTGATTTGGATCACAAAATCAAGGTAGTGGTTCAAACGTAATCGTATGAAACAAATGGCACCAAAAAGACTATCAACGGAAACATCATAAAACGTAGAATGATATATTTAAACATCTAAATGAGGAGACATGATAGTGCACAATTTTTATCTGACTATTCTTACTCCTGATCTTAGAAATACTTTTACCAAAAACTAAAAGATATCACACTACACACGCTATATCAATCGTTCACTACTTATGTGTTGATCTAAATTTCTTTTTTACGATCATCCATATACTGAAAATATTGCAAAACATGGATAAAATCAAGCCCTAAAATCAAAGAGATTTTCAGAATTCATTCATAGATAAAATAAAGACAGAATAGCACATACCTTGAAAAGGAAGACGTGTGAAACCTGTCTCCCTTTAGCTTTTCACAGGGATTTTGAGGTTTCTCAGAGAAAAAAAATGAAAGGAGACGAGAAATGCCACCCTCGCAAGGATTTTATACTAAAATACTCCGTAGAAAACAAAGAGATCATGCTCTCTACCATTTAAAAGTATTGGGAAAGTGCCCCAATTTGTAAACATAATAATTAAAACAAAATGTTCAGACTAAAATATTAATTGAAGAGGAATATGGGATACATATACCAAAATTGTTGTTCTGTTCAATGCCACATGGTGTAAAAGGACAATACTCTAAAAACTATAATAATTCCTTTGTTTTAATATAATACATTTTAGAAAAATAAATTGTTTCTTAAAGATACATATTTCACATTTTCAATATATATAATATTGAAAAAATGTAAACTCGTATTTTTAAAGAATTTTGATTGGTTAAAAGTTATGAGAAATAACTAATCACAAAATAATACATTTATCATATCTCTTTAATATGTGTGAAAACTCTAAAACATACATCATTTGGAATGGAAGAGTATATTTTAGCAGATATTCAGAATAATCAATGATCTTAAATTGACTTGTTAGATCTACCAAATCATAAAAGTATAAATTTCTTTGTTTGATTAAATTATTTGATATTTAGTTATTGTTTCATTTTACCCACAACAAGTTATTATTTCACTATTTATACATAAGATCCTCAATATATTAGAATCAAAGCCTAAGAAAGATTAGGTTCCCAAACATGTAAATAAAATACAGGGCATCAAAATTTAAGTGTTATTTTTACATCAAACCATATTTTACTATTCAAACTTGAAATATTATAGATAACCAAATTTGAAATAGTCCGAATAACCAAAAATGAATAGATCACATTAGGGATTGCTCTAAGTATGAGTTTATATCAGTTATTTATTCATTACAAGAGGAGTTTCCATTACAGCTTATATATTTTGTGTGGTTAAATTAGAACTTCAAAAATAATGAACTATTATTAAGAGAAGGTTTGGTGAAACGGCCAGAGATGAGACCAGTTGCAATATGGTGGTATGCCGCCTCGGTTAGGTGGATTCCATCCCAATTTGCGTATGTTGATGGATTTTTACAAGTTGTTGAACCCTTTCCGCCACATTTTACATTTGGTTTTGCGTTGTATCTTCCATTTTTTCCTCCACAACATGCCTTCAGGACACTTCCAGTAAAACCTATTATGCATATATCAAATTTATTTTATCAGTATTTATTATTTTAGTATATATACACCACTTAATTGACTTTTTTTTGTTAACTCACTAAACGTCAACTTTAATTCATCATAGAAAATATTGTTGAAATCAGAATACCGTATTTGGAAGGTGAGTTAAAGAATTGCATTGCTGAACCGTAATAATCAGCATAGATAATCTTAGCATGAGTGTACTTTTGCCTTAAAGTCACAAGGCCTTCCTGGAGCTTAGCATTGTGAAGCTTGGCAATATTGTTCAGCGGCTTAGAACAATTGTTCCTTGTGTCATATAGCGATCCATTATCATCACTAAACCGCTCTAACAGTACCGCTGAACAACCAATCGGAAGGTTTCCCGGAACCACCAGTGTTACCGCACCTTCCTCTATCAAGGCCTAGGATTAAAAACCGGTAGTTAATAAATGAATGTTATTAAAACTTAAAAGACAATACGTTTGTAAAATGCTTTCTACTTACGCTTGTGACATTGATGATCTTGTTAATGACAGATGGTACCAAATCAATAGCGTGTTTATAACTCCGAAATGCTAATAGAGGGTAATTATAATCGTTCCCACCAATTTCTCCCACGAAAAATAGAGATTTCTTAAAGTATTGGTCACAATCTGCCAAAAATAAAATATACCAAATTACTCTGAAACACCAACAATTTTTTATGAAGGTATATTCAACTCAAATGATTGTTTTTTGTTTTTTTTTTTGCTAAAATGTTTGTTCTGATTTTACCTGGCTTTGTCTTACAAAGAGAAGGTTTCAATTTCTTGAACCAATCAAGTTGAACATCTAATGTCTTATTCGTCAACAATGTTACTGAAAGACCTCTCTCTTTCAAAAAGTTGAAGTCATTTGCCGTTGCTCCGGCCACTGCAAAATTTGCTCCTTTATTAAAATTCACCGTACAGTTTGTTCGCACACTTTGGAGATATGGTATAACATACGGTAATCCACTTGCCTCAGCTGCACATAGTCACATATACAAAAAATATGAAGTTTTTTAGAGATCACGTTTTATGCATGTAAGTTTCATATGGTGCATATTTTAGTTTAATGTTTTATGAAGATGATGGATTTGAAGCCGAAATGCTGAATTTTGTTTATATTTGTGATCCCTTCTGTTTAATCAAAAAAATATCTATCCTTTCCTTCAGATCGAGAATCGGCTAAATTCTAGATATTCTATTAGATATGAATAATTTGTTATATATTTATTTGTAAATAAGTATGTTTAGTATAAGATTAATGATTTTAAAAATAATTTCAGAATTTAATATAGGTTTTTTTAAGTATTTTAATATTTAACTTGCTAAACCAATCTATAAAGTTTATATATAAACATAATGGTTATGATTCCACAAACATAAATACTATTTGTATATATAATATGCATATATACACATATTTGCTTTTTACCATTTGATTTGACTTGAATTTTTTCACTCTAATATCGATCTTAATATTTTTTTGTTTGGTAGGATTATGTTTATCCCGATTTGTTCTTGATTATAGTAAAAAGCAAAAAGGTTTTAAACGGATATAACAAATATTTTCCTATGCATATTCATGTTTGACAATAATACTTTTTAAAGAGAGAGTGAGAGATGAGAAATTAACCAATAAAATCAATGATGAGACGTCCGTTAGAACAACGACCAGTTGAACGGTTAAAGAAAGTTTGACCGTATGGTGGTCTTCCGATGGATGGAGAGTACACGCCAGCGGAGATCAGAAAATTTCCTGTGTCGCTTAAAGAATCGCCAAAATTAAATATGGACTTGTAGTTAAGCGTTTGTTTCACTGGTAGAGACCGTGCAGCGATTAAAAAAGAGAATGCAACAATGGCCATCATATTGATCTTCATTTTATGGTATTCTTATTTATTTAGTTTGATGTTTTAACAATTTATGCATGGATGAACACTCGAACGGTGTTTTTGTATTGAAACTTATGAGATGAGATCATTAATATTTAATAACTGTAGTGACTAACGTTAGAAATACTTATGTGATCTTTTTGTTTTGTAACTTTGTTATTTTCTTGTTCTTCATAAATAAGCCTTATAAATGATAGAGCAGAAACAGTCAACGAACGGTTAATTCAAGAATTAGGGTTAAGTGCCGTAATAGATATTTCTATACTAATGATACTAACAATATTTTTTTTTTTTTGTCCTCCACCCATTTTAATTAGATCAAGTGGTGAACAGACGAGTCGATCCTCCGGAGAGCACCTCCGTTTGGCCTGGTCTGATCTATATGAGAAAAAGTAAAACCTCTCATTGCTTTTTTGGCTAGTGCGTCCGCTCTGACGTTTATACTTCGAGGAATGTGGGAAATACACACATCCCCGAAGCTTGCCTGAAGTCTATGGAGCAGCTCAATCTCTGTAGCAAAAGCCGGCCAGTCCTCTGGGTTAGTCGCCATGTCCACCAGGTCGGAACAGTCGGTTTCGACCCGAAACGAAGAGATCCTCAGGTCTCTCAGACATGTAGCTGCCCAAAGTAGGGCTTCCATCTCTGCGTGCAAAGCTGAGCGGGTCCTCCGACACGTTCGTAAACCAAACCACTCGGAGCCCATATGGTCCTTTAGACTCCATCCTAAGCCACTTACGCTGCCATGACCGACCCATGAGGCATCGATTTGATAGATAGGGGTTCGGGGGATCCCAGGGGGCTCTATTGTGGCTTCCGCAGCCGAGACTCGAGCATGTACCTCAACGTCTTCCGCTCCCTCTCTCTCATTTGCCTTACTCCAGCATTCTGCCTCTAAAGCCGCATGCTGAAGGGTATCCCTCGGGGAACGACTTTCCCATTGAAGAGTAAGTCGTTTCTCACCTTCCAAATGAACCAACAGATCCATGGAAATATGTCGAATTGTGGTCTCCGAGGAACCACCTCTTTCCTCTTCTAAAAAAGGAAGTTCATATTCTCGTAGATAGATGTACTCGGAAAGCCACTCGGGGTGGACGGATAGTTCGATAAAACCCAGACCTGCAGGGCTGGGGGACACTCAAAAAGAAGGTGGTTTATCGACTCCACTGGGCCAGCACATCTAGGACAGCTCCTATCGATATCCAGGTATCTGTAGGTAAGCCCTTCTGCTGTCGCCACACAACCCGAGATGACTTGCCACAAAAAATGCTTCATCTTATTTGGGGTTTATATCCTCTACACATGACTCTAAAGACCTGTGATACTTGGTTGCAGAACCAGGTCATGTGTGGCGCTTATCTTATTTGCTTGGAGTATGATACTAACAATAATTGAATTAACAAAATATAAAAAAAAAATCTTAACTTTTCACCGACCATGATAAAGAAACTGATGGTTCTTGGATTACCAAGAATTCGTCTTGGATTACCAAGCATTTGTCGATCATTTCTTTTACATTGACCCCTACATACAATGTAAGAAGGCCGACATAATTGTACTTATTATATGTATGACTATCAAATTTTATAAGAATAAAAATTAGAGAAGTGGAATTTTGGTAAATAAATGTAATGATGAATATATGTGTGCAGAATCTCATGTGTTTTTTTTTTACCAAAAATCTCATGTTTTTGTATTTAGTAAATAATCAACAATTTGATTCGTTTACTTTCTCAAATTTAAAATTTTAAAAATTTTACGAATCAAATTGTTGATTATTTACTAAATACTCGAAACCGAATGGATTTGGCTACAAAGTTCGATAGTGTCATTCAGCATACGTGATTTATGTTCGGGTCTCAGCTAATGCTTGTATGGTCGTGTTTGTTTGCATGTTACACCGACTTGTGATCTTAAGATGTGACTAGAATGTTGTTAGTTTTGCTGTCACAGGGTTTGCGATTTATGATATGTGACTTATAACCAAGTATTGTTCGTTTCATGCGACTGCAATTAGTTGTAGATCACGCATTTTTTTTATTTTTCAGTTGTTATTTTTTTAGTGCTTTGAGAAATAATTTGTGATTAATCGTGCGACAGCAAACCGAACAACAGGATGTAACTTAGGGTATAGTAGCACAATATCAAAACGAATAATAATTTACAATTTGGGACTGGTTGCAAGTTACATGTCTTTCTTTTTTTTTGACAAATGGTCGCAAGTTACACGTCGCAACAACCCGTAAACAAAGATGGCTTAGCCTTCCATTTTGGTTATTCTTTATGTTTTTGTACTCTATATTTTATTTTAATTGATGTTTTAAGATTTTTTTTTTTTCAATTTAAATGATATTGTCCGCTTTTTATATAATATTTTAACGTTTTTAATCAGTTATATTATATTGATTGATTTTAAGGGTTAGATTAGCTTTAAGTAATGTGTTCAAAAACATTAAGGACCAATTGATTTGAAATTGATGAATTAACTTAGAGTCCCATTAATTTAGTATGCCTATATTTCTTAAATGGAATTTACACTCTCGCATATATACACATAGAGATGGCAATCATGAAACTGAACAGCGGGCATAGTCCGTAAAGGACTGTCACGAGATAGTATTAGGACGAGATTTTTTAGGTACACAAATTTCCGAGCCTCACGGGATAAATCTTTGCGGGATTGCGTTTTTTGTGGAATGCCCCAATTCGGATCATGTGGGATTACAAAGACCCGCATTTTTTTCTTTATTTTGTTGTTTTATTTTGGGAAACAAGAGAATGAGTGAGAAGAAGACGATTCATGTGACTTCTTCTGAGAAAACATAAAGAGCTCGGGCAATGATGATGATTCGAGCTTCAGTGATAATATGATTCGAGCCCCGGTGATGACGACTACAGCTCCGCCGACGACGATTCGAGCTTGGTAGTGTTTTGATTTGGTTTCTCTTTTTATTTAATTTGGGATTGACATTTTTAGTTTGGTGTTTCGTTTAATTTAATTTTTGGATTCAGTAAATTAAAACATTGGTTATGAACTTATAAGTTATAAGATAATGAAAAATGTCTTCTACAATTACTTTTACTTTGTATGTTAATATGTTTTGGTTGTGATACAAATAATTACAATTATTGTTTGCAATAAAAAATAAGTAAAGTAATGATTGATGAATTATGTCCAGTTGAATCGACGATTTGAACTATATCCTAGAATGGTTTAAAGCGTTTTGGAATGGTCTGAATAGTTCTGTTACGTGTATTATCACATGTCCCGCGGTACGGCCCGCGAAAGCCTATAAGAAGTACGATATGGAATTGGGTAGCTGTTTTCAAAACCGCATCCTATGCAAGATAAGCCCGTCGCATCCATTAGAAGACGAATCCGTAGTGGTCTGAGATGGGACGGGAGAGTCCAATTACCATCTCTAATACACATAATATAAATCATGTAAGGTCGGTGACTAGTGGGCGAAAGCATTTAGTGCATCGACTTTAATTTTTGTTTGGCCCATTAATAAACCTTTACTGCTTTCATCAATAATAAGCCTTTCTTTAATAAATGAAACACGACCACTTATTTTACCAAAAAAAAAAAAAAAAAAAAGAAACACGACCACTTCAGCGAAACCACTATACTACACCGTCTCGCTTATATTTTCTCGGGTAGAGACTATAGAGTGATAATTTTCTTTTGGAAACTTTGGAGAGAGTGAAAGGTCGAAGAGGAAGAAAACCTCAAAAGATGAGGCCTAAGATCGTTCTTTTTGGTGATTCCATCACTGAAGAATCATTTGGTGACGGTGGCTGGGGAGCTTCTCTCGCCGATCTTTTCCGCCGCAAGGTATATATATCTATATATATCTTCATATATACACAGGCTTGCTTGTATTTACTCTATTATGTAAAAAAATTATATACATCTTATAACATCTAATTTACAGTGGAGAAATGAATATTCAAAAAAGTTTCAGTTGAAACCAATTAAAATTAACTTTTTACTCTGTAGAAGTATTGTTTGTCAAACATAGATGTATTTGTTTCTTTTTGGCTTAAATTTGAACATAAATATATTTGTTTTGTACTGGTTTTATGGATGGTTTTTGACCAGGTTTTCATATATTGTTATCGGTTCTCATTATGAAACGATAATCCAGAAAATTAAGCATCATATTTTACTAGTAAACATGTTTTTTCTTCTGTTAATATATATTTTTTCCTTTCTTAGAGATCATAGTCCCTTTGTTATGAAATAATTAATATGACTTTTTAGGTAAATATCAAATCACAATATCTTATTGAGCATAATCTTAACTAATTTTAAATGACGTTTCTGATAAATCAAAAAATTTCAGGCTGATATGGTGTTACGAGGATACAGTGGATATAACACGAGATGGGCGTTAAAAGTGATGGAGAGAGTTTTTCCGGCAGCGCCAGGAGACGGCGGAGCACATCCATCGGCAGTGACTGTATTTTTTGGAGCCAACGATGCGTGTTTGCCGGAGAGATGCTCGGGCTTTCAGCATGTGCCACTTCTTGAATACAAGCAGAATCTTCGCTCAATTGTTTCGTTTATCAAGGTGACATTTTTATTATATCCACTAGAGTCAACTGAATTCCTTTTTTTGTATAAACAGAATCTTAGGCATTTGTTTTTGAATATATACTATGAAAGAAATTAACATTGTCTGAAATGTTACAAACTTTTACTGTTTTCCATAAATGTTTTCGCAGTTTGCAGGTATAAAATGTATAAAAACTTGCATATGTAAAATACCTAACAAAGAAAGAAAAAAAAATTCGAATAAGCCTTTAATTTTTTTTCTCTTAACTGAAGAATCTTGCTCTAGATGGTAATGGCTGTTGGGTTCATATATATTAAAAACATCTCTACGGAATGTAATACCGAATGATTATTCTATATGATAAATAACTAGGATAATTTTTTACCAAAAACAAGAATAATTCGGATTATTGTGTTTTACTTATTAGAAAATATGTATTTTTCATAAAAGTTTAGTGTGTACCCATGTGTATATTTTATTATTTCTAAAAAGAAAATGTATATATAATTTATATATTTGAGTACCATCTTAAAAGTTTTCAAAGTTGTAGTTCTAGAATGTAATCATTTGTGGTCAAAGATTACGTGGATTTATGTAGCTGCTTTTAGTAAGTGGTGAATGGTGATCTTGATTACACTTTCGATTGAACAGAAAATGGAACTGCATGCTAGTGGCTAAACTTTCAAATTATTTAATTAAAGATCAACATGAGGTTATACATATTTTGTTATGAAAAGAAAAAATTTCCATAATATGCCTCTTAAGTATACGTTAAAATTATTAATATATATTATGATATATAAAATCGTTTCGACTGAAAAAGCCAATGCTTTGATCATTTTCCTCTTTTGGGAAAGTATATATAAACTTTAACAGCACCAAGGGTATATACTTGTTGAATCACTAAGTAAAATATAATTTATACATTTATTTTATTAAAGAGTGGAATTCGTATAATTACAAAGTTTACTTTTCTTGCTTTTAATTTCAGAATCGTTGGCCACGAACGGTCATTATTCTCATAACTCCACCTCCAATCGACGAAGAGGCCCGGCTCCGGTACGACATCTCTCTAACTTTCTCCACTTTCAATTTATTTATTTTTCGCTTAAAACATTTGTCCACTTTCAAGATTTTATCCCACACTTTTGCTTTTACCAAAAGCTACCATGGATTTCCTAAATGCATAACCTCTCTTTATATCAATTTTTGCCACCAAATTTTATAACTGAGTAATCTTAACATTGTTAGATATCCCTATATCGAAAACACGATAGGCTTGCCAGAAAGAACAAACGAAGCAGCAGGATCATACGCAAAAGCGTGTGTAGCCGTAGCTAATGAATGCCAAATCTCAGCCATCGATCTTTGGTCCAAGATGCAACAAATTCCGAATTGGCAAACTGAATGTCTATGGTAATTACGTTACAGTTTATGAAACAGCCAATCCATTCATTTCCTTGTTTTTTGTTTATTTGTTTGTTCTTTTGGAATTCAGGGACGGTTTACATTTGAGTCGGGTCGGGAACAAAGTGGTGTTTGAAGAAGTTACAAATGCACTTAAAGGAGGAGGTATTGGAGCTGAGGACTTAGTTGTGGATCTTCCCCTCATTGAAGACGTTGACCCAAAGAAACCTCTCAGAGCCTTTGATGAGTTTTGATGCTTTTCATAATCATAATGTATCGTTAATCCTTCGATAAAATAATTCGCTATTGTTCTCACACACAAAAATCCGCTCTAGTTGAACCATATTTAAGTCTTGCTTAAGTTTGATTTTTTTTTGGGATCACATACGTAAATTATCATATCAAATTTATATTTGTTTTTTTTTGTAAAATATATCTAAATTTATGGTATGACCAAGTGACTAATGAAGGAGCAACGAATTTAATATGCGGCAGAGTTAGGAGTATCAAAATGAATTAAAAATTAATACGTTAATCCAACCAATCTGATCTATAAATTTTGATGGATGGAAGTATTGGACAGATGGATTAATGGATAAAACAATTAAATTATTTAGCGGATTGAGTTAAAATGGTCAGGACTAAAATACACAATGAATTACCCATAACAAAATCAATAAAACTTTATAACAATTATAAATTTAAATCAAATATAAAACAAAAATAATCTAAACAAATTTACAAGCCCTATGTTACTAAACCAAGTTCTATTTATTTCTCACATATCTGAAACAATTTCAATAAACTAGATCTAACATAAATTGTCATATATATATAAATATTTTTTTTGACTTCCATATTAGTTTTAGTTTACCAAAATATCAAACCAGATACAAAATCGCAAAATCATTTTTTTTTTGTCAAAATCACAAATCAAATTTTCCGCAAAAAATGTAAAATCATGTTTTTCCTCTAAAATTACAAAATTAAGTTTTGTACCAAAACCGTAAAATCATATTTTCCCTTCAAAACCATAAAACATGTTTTCCACCAAAACCGTAAAATCGTGTTTATAACCAAAATTTACAAAATCTATTTTTTTAACAAAACCACAAAATAATATTTTTCTTCAAAGTCAAAAACGCAAATCATGTTAAAATCATGTCATACACCAAAACCGTAGATTACATTTTTCGCCAAATTTGCAAATTGGGATTTTTGATAAAACTACAAAAGCATAATTACTTGTAAATACTGAAATAATGGTTTTTTGACAAAAACAAAAAAGAATGTGTGTTTTTGGCCTAATTTACAAAATTGTGTGTTTTTTCCTAAAATCATAAAATTGCATTTTTTCCGCTAAAACGATTATAACATGATTTTCACCACAACCATAAAATTGTTTTATGCAAAAACTGAAAACGATGTTTTCGAGAAAAATCATAGGATAACCACAAGATTCGTTCAAAAACTAACCGAGATTAAAAATAAGGTAGCTAATAACAATTTATTAAAGTTAAATCGCATTAGTTATGTCAATAAGTTTAGATAGTTTTGTCTTAGATAACATTGAATCACATCTTAATCACCACTACGCATCACTTTACTAAGTTAAACTAGATTATGATCCGTCCTTCCAAAAAAACGGGTAGATTTTTTGTTTTAATTATTTTTGAGAAATTTAATTTTATATTTATATTATTTTATGATCATATTTGTGTTTGATATTAATTTAATTTAATATAATTTTGGTAACTATATTGAATATGTCAAATTGCATAATTATACACTTGTGCCATATGCATTTTATAAATTATTTTTAAATGTTGTTCCTAAAGTTTACAACATATTATATTTTCTTATTAGTTACCTAACATAATTAGTCAAGAATATCCGTAGTAAGAAAATTGAATCGATAATAAAATCAAAATCTCATACTTTATCAGACATGGGCTATATATTCAACGGTTTTTAAAGTGTTATATCCGAAAACCAAAAATTTTTTTGGAGTATAGTATATTGTGTTATATATATATGTGTGTGTAAATGGGTTAATATGGTCTTCATTAACTTTAAGCAAAATCACATTTAATAAATAGTTTTTATCGAATAATCTATTTGAAATCTGTTAAATTAAATGAATTTACATGAATATTTGTTTCTATTAAACTATTAAAGTCCACTAAACCGGCCCGTTAAACCATATTTTAACACCATGTGCTTTGTTAATTGATAAACTTAATCTCTATGTATAATACTTAAAATTTCAATAAATTAATGTATGATTGAATAAATCTCAATAATTTGGGCTGAGATGTAAGTTATGTTGTTTTAGTGTGTTAGTGACTTTTGAGAAAAACTGGTATATTTGTTTTAATTTTTTTGTAATTTACTATAAATCCAACCGTCTTTTTAGCAAGTATCCAACTGTTTTTCTCACATTATATCACTATACCGTGATATAATTTTTTTTTAAGAATAATAAAAAAATTAGTTACAATTTGTTTGATAACAATGTAGATTAATCTTACCTAATTAAAATTCAATTAGCCAATCAATCTTCATCAGAATGTACTTAAAAATCAATAAAATCAAATGCCCCAATGTAACATACATTTCATTTTATACAAAAAATCGTGGTCCAATGTAACAAACCATTTCATTTTATAAAATAAATTGTGGCCTAAAGCCAATTTTCAATCATCAACAAACAAAAAAAAAACTAAATCTTACCTAATTAAAATTCAATTAGCCAATCAATTTTTATCAAAATGTATTTAAAAAGAAATAAAAATCAAATCTTATACAATAAAACTGACTTTTCTCCATTCTCATACTGCCACATCAGCAGAGAGCATGGGGCAAAAAAAGACACCTAAACAATTACTCATTGAAATTGACCCGAAAAAATTAAATCTTTGCGTCTTGGTTAGTAGTAGGTTTATTATACCGGTTTAATGTTAGATGTTGGGCTAGAGATAAATTAAAGGCCCACATTTCTCTAGAATCGTCCACTTTAGCAAGAGATAGATGAGCGTTTTTTGTGATACATTCATATTAGTTCCAGAAAATGGGTAAAATATTTAAATTTAATGAATTATCTTTTCTTTACATTTTCCCATAAAAAATAAGATATTTTCCTTTTTTTTTTTTGTAATTCCTTCATATTTGATATGTTATATTAACTTCACATTTTTATAACAACAACAAGTATTTCTTTCCCGATGAAATTACGAATTTGTTTTTACTGGTAAAATTACAATTTTTTTCTTTGAGAATCTGCTAAAACTTTTTTATTTTATAAGATTTTTTAAGAAAGAGTATAAAACAAACCATACAGATATTGTTTTATTTTCTTAACTTTAGAGTTAGTTAAATAAAATGAAACTACTCAAAATTCGATAAATTTATAGATAAATGAATAATAGCTATATTTTAAGATATTTTTAGTTAAACATATGAAAATTTCTGCTTAAAAATCATCTTTTACACCAACATTTCAAGTTATATGTCAAGAATTTTTTTTTGCCTGTAAAATTACAATTTTTTTCTTTTATAATCTGCTAAACTTTTTTATTTTTATAAGATTTTTTTAAGAAAGAGTATAAAACAAACCATACAGATATTATTTTTTTATTTTCTTAACTTTAGAGTTAGTTAAATAAAATGAAACTACTCAAAATTCGATAAATTTATAGATAAATGATTAATAGCTATATTTTAAGATATTTTTAGTTAAACGTATGAAAATTTTTGTGTAAAAATCATCTTTTACACCAACACTTCAAGTTATATGTCAAATAGTGGGACCCAAAACAATGTACAATCGTCTGTGAACATTTATTTTACTTAATGATAATTAGGATTTTATGGTTTCATACGTTTTTGCGCAGGTGGGACTGTAAAGCTTAAGAATACCTCAACTTGCCCACCTGTAAAGCTTAGGAATGCCTCAACTTGCAATCTCTTCTGGTGGGATCTCAAGGTCAAAGTTATCATTATAATTATGTTTCGATTATGCTTTCAGTTCTTTAAACTGAAATTGTAGTCAGGACCGGCTTAACATTCAAGAGGGCCCTAGGGCAAAAAAAAAAAATTTGGGCCCTATAATTATTATTTTCGTTTGTATTTTTAAAGTTTTTTTAAAACTTAGTTCACTATATTTGAGTCTTTGTTATAAAAAGAAAAGAAAATCTATAGGCCCTATAAAATTAACACAATAAGCACCAAAATAATTATTTTGGGCCTGTTATAAAAGGAAAACAAAATATATGGATCCTTTATGGTATTAATTTTTTGGGATTTTTGATAGGCCCTGGACAGGTGCACTGTTTGCCCTGCTCATTAAGCCGGCCCTGATTGTAGTGTCACCTCTTGAAATCTACTCCATCGTGCATTAGCATGTTATATAGTAACTAAGTTTGGAAAGTAACTTATAATCGGTTTTGATTACACTTTGGTCTTCATGTCTTCTCTGATATAACTTATTAATTACATATATTAATTCAGTTTGAGTTCACTATGATCTGAAAAAGATACTAAATAGAGTTAGTGTAACCTTTAGATATGAGCGTCCATGTTTGTAAATATTTCAACAATAATTCACAAAACACAATTAATAAAATATTAAAAACTGAATAAATTTCATTATTAATTGGAAATCTAATATAAACTGAAAAACATATATTATAAAACATAATTTATTGTTAAATAAAATATATTAATTATTATCTATGATATTATTGAAACTATTTATATAGTACTTTAAAATATACATTTTTACAGTTTTATCACATTACATTATATTTCAATTAATTTAGCTTGAAGAAGGATTAATTAATTATCGGGAGAAATTATTAATATACTAATATTAAATTTGGAAACTCTTAGAAAAAAGTTATTTTAACTTTTGAATTTTCTTCAACTATATCAAATTGAAATAAAAATCAAAAGAAGAAATATAAATTATTACATTTTCCTTAATTTTGTTTATTTAATAATTTTGGTTCACTAAAAATCTTTCTTTCAGAAAAATCTAATATAATTTATAATATCATCTTTGGAAAAAAATATTTATTATCTTATTATAAAGTAAAATTTCAAATATTTTATAAAATTAAAATATATTTAAACATAAAATAAATTTAGTGTAAACACATTCGCCCGTAGGGCGGGCCAACCACTAGTGGCCCAATATAACATACATTTCATTTTATACAAAAATCGTGGTCCAATGTAATAAACCATTTCACTTTATAACAAAAATCGTGGCCTAAAGCACAATTTTCAATCATCAACCAACAGAAAAAAAAAACTAAATTCAAGAAGAAATAAATTTTCTAAAATGGTTAAATGTTTTTCAAGTATAAATACAACGTGGAGTGTTTAAATATAATTAG